TATTATTATATAATCCCCTTAAATAATAAGTTTTTCATATATTGAAATAATTTATTATAAAATTAATGGAAGCAATTTTCAGGAAATTGATGGCAAAGCCTTGCTTCTTCTCAATAGTGACATGATGATGAAGTATATGGGGCTGAAACTTGGTCCAGCACTAAAAATTTGTAATTTGGTAAACCGCATTAAAGGCAGGAGACATATGCTTATGTGATTTTTTTAAATATGAATACTTTAAATATGAATACTTGTATAGTATGATTTCAACTCGCGCATTTTAAAGGGTTAATCAGACTATGTTTTGACGATAAAAAATACTAATGTAAGGTTGTTACAATGTGAATATACATTTGATAATTGATTGAATTATTCTCAGAATTTTACAAGCATAGATTGATTTTAAATGTTATAAAAGATAAAAATCAAATAAACTCAGAAAATATTGTTTTTTATTATTTTAAAAAAGGTATAAATTTGCATTGATTAGTTGTAATACGCATATTTTTGTTAATAAATTTATCATTACTTTATGAGTATTAGATTAGCCTAAATAATTAAAAAAAGATAGCTTTCTAATTTAGAAATTAATATTAGTAAAAAGGCCTAGTGCTATTAAGCGTGATTGTTCACGTGATATAATATATTGTAAAGTTTCAAAAAATAAAAATATACATTATATTATAAGTATAAACAATTGCGTTTTATAGGCCTTATATATTAATTTCTAGATTAGCCCAATCTGATTCCACATATGTAGACAAGCAGTGATAAGCACATTAAATCTAGTATAGTTCTTATATATGCTCACAAAGAATAGTAATATTTCCTACACTAGTAAATATAACTATATTGTATTTTATTTCACAGTTTTAAAATCATAAAATACATATATTGTAAACAAGATATTTGTCTTGTGTACTTTCAAATAATGCTCATATATTATAAATTAACATAATTTTTTAAATGTTTTCCTCTATTTTTATTAATATATGACATATATATTGCAAATATTCTTAGCTTGCTGTTATGTATCTTCAATACATCCTATTGCGACAACCCAACATAATTCATATATTACTTCAAAAGTTTAGAAGATCAATACATTTTTTTGTAAAATACACATAGGTTATATATAAAACCTATTATTTCATTATACTGTGTAAATGTGATTTATAGGCAATAACAGTATATTTATACTTTATACTTATAGAAAAAATAAGATAATATGCTTTTGTATTGTAATCAATTTTTTTATGTAAGAAACTGTAAACATTTTAGAGCATTTAAAAATTAGAAAATTAGTTTAATGTGTATGATTCTTATCACTGCACTACTACTGTGATATTCTGGATAATTTGTACCACAAACTCAAATGTTTTAGAGTGTGTTGCTGTTTATACAAAATATTAAGTTACAATTTCTTTATTTTGTTAGTTTGAGAATTTTTTTTGTTTGGTATTATAAGATCTAAAACATCATATTATTTTACTTATTTATTACTTATATGAAATTGTGAATATGCAAAATGGAAATTAAGCATTTAAGTTATAATTTATTATGTATTTTGTAATATTTTTCATAACATAATTCATTTAAAAAATTAAAAGTTTTTATTCTCTATGCCCTAAATATAACCTTTTTTATTTTTGCCCTTAATATATAAACTATATACATATATATTTCTAATTATGAAATGAAGATAATATAATTGTAATACAATATTAAATTATTTTTATTTATATAAGTTATGAACGTTTTTTTTATAGCAATCTATTAATATAATGTATTTATTGCCAATCTAAGAAAGTTTACAGATATAATTTAAGACATGCTTATAAATAATAAAAATTAATTTTTGCATTATGCTACGAAAGAGATTAGATATTTCATATATTGAAATATGAAACTTATCAATTTTATTATAAAAAATGTTTGGTTTAAATAATACAAGAACAATGATAAATATAATATGCGAGACAAAAATGTAAATATGTATAAATTTTTGCGTTTGGATGCAATCTCAATCGTCATCAGAATCATCTGAGTTACGTCCCTTTATAGTTTTGGGTTTTGCAGGTTTAAATATAAATGGCTTCTTGGCAGTTTCTGAAGTTTGTAAATCATCATCGTAATTGATTACACCAGATTGTGCAAGACGCGACTGTAGTTTTTCAGTAGAAAAATCGTCACAATTTCCTAATTCTGTAAAGCCGACGATAAAATCCTTAGTTTTGCCATTTATAATTAGCGCGATTGTAGGTATAATTTTGATCCGTAACCGTGCTGTAATATTTAAAAATGTATTATTAACATGATTAATATGTTATTATAATATTATAACAGATATTTTGTAATACCAGTTAAAAAGGGACATCTTTCAACATTTAACTTGCAAAATCTTGCTTCAATATGCTTTTTTGCAAGAATTTTGAAATGATGATCCACTATCTTACACCGTGGTGAATCATCTTTATAAAATAAACAAACTATATTTTCTGACTTTTTAGATATTGCAAAAAATTCTTTCTCATCATATATCTCTGAATATTCTCCATGACCCTATAATAATATACAATATTATATACAATATTTTAGTACAAATTGATATAATTGGTATTTTATACACAATAATAAAAATCAAGTTTTAAATAAATATTGTGAAAAATTACCAAAAGGAGCCAGTCCTGCTTTTGTTTTTGCATCCGTTTGAGTTCATTCAATCGATGTGTACGTATCTTCTCGTAATCACTGATATCTAAATTATCTAACATCTCCAACTCTGCATCCAATTGCTGTTCAACATGATTGGCGACTTCTATCACTTTTTGCTGAAGTACAGTCTCCATTTCTGTTAATTAGAAAAATATTTGTAAATATTATATGTGCCTGCATATTTTTTTATATAATTAAATAATTATAACATTTATAAAAAGTAAAGGTAACCAGAAAACATTAGATATGAAATAAATGTGATTGAAAAAAATCATCATTAATTTATTTATTAGTTATAACTCATACTTAATGTTTAAGAGTTGTTTCCTTAATTCAGTTAAACCAGTTCGACTTTTGACTCCCCGGATTCACACTCCAAGCACTTCTTAACCTTATATAGAAGTCTTACACAAGTTGTGAGATTGGAAATGTGGCAAATATGAGAAAGACAAGAATATACAAAGAAAAGGAGCGAGTTGACATTAGCATGCAACTCAAAGCATCTCTCTCTTTCTCACTTTTTCTCTTATTCTTTCTCTCACTTAATTTGATGTATCTCGTCGGTGCTGCCGACTATGTATACTTACATGTGTAAATGGAAGATACATACACCTTGAAAATTGCATTACTGATTACAGCGTTCTCTACAATGAAATTTTTTTATGAACTAAAATAAAGGTATCCATCTTTCTGTACATCACATTCAATAATTAATATTTTGATAAAAATTCTAGTTTTTCAGCATTGTTATTTTTCAATAAAACTATTTATAATAGTAATTTTTAAGGTAAATCGTATTAAATAAAAAAATTATTTAAATCACATAAAATACGTTCTTTGCTCATATCTTGAATATTTTGTGATGCAATTTATATCATACATTCATTTGTTTTATTATATATTTACTATAACCAAATATATATTAAAAGTATTAGTTCTTGTCGGCATAAAGGTATAAATATTGGTCAATTTTACTGTTATACAATATACAACAAAGTTGAACAAATATTTTCATAAAGACATGTTGGCTGGGGAGGTCAAAAAAGATGTTGCAGTTTTAGTGCTTCACACATATCCATTGTGTAAAGTAAATCAATCGTTCATACATTTTGTAATTAAATTATTTAGTTGTAATTTTAATAGAGATTCTTTAGGACAGCGACATGCCAGAGGAGATGAAGCAAGAAGCGATAGAAACTTGTGTTACTGCTGTAGAAAAATATTCAGAAAATTATGAATATGCAGCTCGCATGATTAAAGACAATCTAGATAAGAAATTTGGACCACCTTTTCAAGTAGTTGTGGGGGAAGCTTATGCATGCACAATTACATATCAAGAGAAATCATTATTACATATGTTTATTGGAGGTAATGTAGCAGTTGTGGTATGGAGAACAGTTAAAGGTTTTTGATAAATTTTTAAAAAATAAATTGTAACTATACATCATGTATGTGTGTGTGTGTCAGCTTTTTAAATATATATTACTTATTTTCTTATAAAAGAATATATTTTAATATTAAATCATATATATAGAATACTCTATGTTAATAAGCATGTTAATATTAGCTTCTTAAATAAGGACAAGTGACTTAATTCATTTTTATCAGAAAGTACTTCAATTATTTTATTATTTTGTACATATAAATTATTTAATTTAATTATATAAATACATTTATTACAGTTATGATAAAAAAAAACATTCAACTTATAATATAGAGATTTGACTCACACAAGAATAAATTAAAATATTCCTTTTCTTTTTTTTATATCATTACAATTTATGTTGTAAACACACATTTTCACACTCACAAAAAAATAATTTCACACATATAGTTTGTTGAATGCATTATGCAGTCATCAAAGCTGTACTATGCAGATTTCCATATGCATATTGCTAAATTGCCAGCACAGTACATATACAAAAGGTGTTTCAATTGATAAGTTATTTCAAAGCCATAGCCTTCTCCAACAACAGTATGCCATGATGCACCAAATCTTTTATCCATTGTCTCTTTGATCATTCTAGACACGCTTTCATAGTTATCTGCATATTTTTCTGCTGCAGTCACACATAATTCCATTGCCTCTTGCTTCATTTCATCAGACATATCACATTTCTATAAATAAATGTCAGTAAATATGATTAAAAGAAGCAATATCAAAAGCATTATTACATAAAGATATTTACTTTTAACTGAAGCATTCTTTATGATTTATATACAAATTTAAACTTGACTTTTTTAACATTATAATTTCTCGAGTTTATATTTTTGTATGACAATAAAATAGATTATTGAAAAAAATACTTAGAGATATAACAATAATTCTTTAAAAATTTACAAATATATATTTATGTAATTTTTTAGATATATTATATTATATAAGTTAAATTTAATTTTAAAATATTAAAATACGTGTTTAAAAGTCGAAAAATGCATGCAATTTTAAAAAAGTTATTTGAGAAGATGTGTAGCAGAATATAATATAAAGCTTCGCTTATTGATCAAATTCGCATCTCATATTCGTATCTGTACACACAACGAAATCCATATAATAAAATACGTGCGAAACGCATTTTACTCACTCTACAAAGCGGATAGGTATGAAGAATTTTTATAACATCATCCTTTTTTACTTCTGTCATTGTTATAATTTACGAATAGTACCCTTAACAATGCTAATATTACTACTTCGTACAGTGAAACGATGCAGTGTCTCAGGCGCAAGTCAGTGAGTCATGTGACAGGAAACTAAAGTGTCAGGATAAGTTATACGAGTGAAGTAATTTATCCCACACACACGATTTGTGATCAAAATAATTCTCATCTTTTTTACCACGTGGTAATATTTTTTTGTTATATTTAATTTGAGTGCATGAATGAATTGCAGCAGAGAAAATTTATTTATAAAGTCGGAAATTTGTAATTTACTTAATCATTTTCCTTAAAAGAGTGGTGAAGAGGTTATGTTTTATGGTTTTAACAACATTATAACTAATATTTATCATATAATACTGAGGATTTCTATTATTAAATTAATGTTATCTGTGATTTTATAAATCTTAGAGTATTTTGAGAATTTGTAAAAAAAAACAATTTGTATTCATAAGAAGAAAATTTTGTTTATTATATTTGTTAAGTCATTAAATTGCATTAATAGAAAATATTTACGTAATAGTTGATCATAAGAAGTCAAATTAAAAAAAATGGCATCGCGATTTAGTGGAGCATTGCAAATTACAAATCTGGATGACTTTATTACTCCGTCACAGGTATAACAGTTTATATAATTTTGTGTTACCTGCAATCAAATTTTTATATTGTGTTTTAAATCATATTACATTGTTATAGGAATGCATTAAACCTATAGAATTCCCGTCAAACAAAAGCAGCACGGGTGCAAAGATAAAGATACAATCTGATAATGCTGATTTGGCACTCAACGAAGTAAGTTTTTATACTATATATTATACTGAAATATAATTATAACTCAAAATTTTTGTTTTAATTGCTTGATCTTACAATGCAGATTAAGCAACCTAATAAACTGCAAAAAGTCGAGATTACACTTTCAGACTGTTTAGCATGCAGTGGTTGCATTACATCTGCTGAAAGTGTATTAGTTACTCAGCAAAGTCAAGAAGAACTGCTTAGAGTATTTCAGGAGAAAGTAGCTCGACAGGTGAGAAACACATAAATGTTTCAAACAAAATATATAAAAATAGTTTATCAAAATTTGAACAATGTGGAGAAGTAGAGAGGTATCATAAAAATAGATTAATATAATTATCAATTTGTTTCAAAAAATATTTTTTTATATATGTATAATTTTATATATATAATTTGTTAAATGCTAAAAATATCTATTACTTATCTTTAATATATTCTTGTTTGTACAATTCTGATATCTTTTATACTTACAGAATGAAGGAAGTACAGATCATAAATATATAGTGGTAAGCCTGTCAGTGCAACCTGTATTGTCATTGGCACAGCGTTATGAACTTACACCTGAGCAAGCCCTCTGTAAACTCGCAGGCTTTTTCTATCGATTGGGAGCTGATGCAGTATTAGATATGACTGCAGCCGATGACTTTGCTTTATTAGAAGCTGCCAAAGAATTTGTCGAACGTTATAAAGTTAGCAAAGAGGGCATAAAAAATCAACTTCCAATGCTGTCCTCTTCCTGTCCAGGTAAAACAAATGCTTTAATCGCTGAATACAGGAGATGTTTGTCATTTTTCAAATATGCAAAATTCTGATTTTTTATATCAGGTTGGGTATGTTATGCTGAGAAGACACATGGAAATTTCATATTGCCATACATAAGCATTACAAAATCACCTCAACAAATTATGGGATCGATAGTGAAGTATCATTTAACCGAAAAAATGGGTCTTTCACCTGAACAGATATATCATGTAACTCTAATGCCTTGCTATGACAAAAAATTGGAAGCTTCTAGAGAAGACTTTTACAATCAGCAAAAAGAGACAAGGGATGTGGACTGTGTTATAACATCAAGTATGTGCATATTTACTTCTGTATCAAACTAGAACTTAAAATTTAAACATACATTATAATATCACTGTATACCTTTTAGTTGAATTGGAACAAATGCTCAATGAACACAATTTAACATTAAACGAGATAGACGAAGGTGAAATCAAACAGCCATTTGGTCGCTATAATGAAGAGATCGAAAACAAATTATGGGGTCATAAAGGATCAGGATCAGGTGGCTACGCAGACTTCATTTTTCGTTACGCAGCGAAAAATCTTTTTGACGAAGAAAATGTCATTGTGGAATTCAAGAATCTTAGAAATCCCGACTTCCAGGAGGCAGAATTTAAAAAGAACGACCAAGTGCTATTAAAATTTGCTATTATTAATGGATTCAGAAATATACAAAACATAGTTCAGAAGATGAAAAGAGGAAAATGCGTTTACGACTATGTAGAAGTTATGGCATGCCCATGTGGTAATTTATTTAAGATGATATGCGCATTAACGCATGCAAGATTAAATGTTTTAATAAAATTATTATTGTTAGGTTGCTTGAATGGTGGAGCACAAATAAAGCCTGAAGGAAACATCCAACCCCGAGAACTTGCATCGACATTAGACAATACATATCATAAACTTCCATTGAGCAAACCCGAGAAAAACAAAGTAGTACGGAACTTGTACAAAACTTGGCTGGAAGGAGAACATACGGATAAAGTTAGCGCGTATTTCAACACACAGTATCATGAAATACCAAAAATGAATACGGCACTTACGATAAAATGGTAACGCAGGAATAACGATGTATGAATATTTTACAATAATCTTATATGATATGTATATGTTGCATAGTAAGTTCAGTGATTGATTAGTTTCTTTTTATTTTTGGGATTGTACAATAATAAAAATAAATAAATTATTGCTAATCAGGTATTTGATATTTACTTAACGTCATTTAAATATATTCCAGTATACATGATTGGTGATAAAACTAACTTTTTACGCTTTTGTAATAAATAATAATACCTATTTAAATATTGTTATATGTATAATAAATTACATATATGAAACAAATTATAAGCATGTTCATTGTGTAAAAGAAGTGATTATATCTAAAGTGTGTTATAACAATTTCATATTACAAGTATTTATTTACATAAGCCTTTTAAAATGACAGATGCGATTATCACAATAAATAATACCACAGTACATTTACACATAAATACTTTCACAATTCATGTGAGTAGATGTCGTTTAAATACGAGTTTGCTTTCTTATATAGTAGCTTTTAATAAAGCAATTTTCATTCTGAATAAATACAATGCTACATTTCCTTACATGTGTTATTTGTTGAATTGCACATTATATTAAACTATATGTGATGGTAATCATATATAATTGATTTTTCTTTTCTTAGAAAAATAAATAAAAAAGATGTCTTATTTAAATAAATAAATAAATACAAATGGAATTATAAGAATGTAGAATGTTTGGTGAAACACTTATTTTGTGTAATTGCCATTATTTACTTCATTTTCTTTTACCTTTATTGTTTTCATAATTTTGAATCTTTCCTTGCAGCAACTTTAGTTACTCTTGCTTAAATTTGTAACAAGGCAACAAATAAATAAATAAATGGAATATGGTGGTCTCAATTATCTAGAATTTTTGTTATCTATAAATTCTTCGTTTTCATTCATTTCTTTTGACTCTGACTTTTTCAAATCTATATCTGCATATCCATCTTCGATATACCTAATAGACTCACGATCCATGTTATTGTCATCTTTGTTTTCACATGTATCCATCAACCATCCTTGATTACCATCAATCTCTCTAGAAACAACAAGGAATAATTCCTTCTCCTTGCTATCTATTTGATCCTTTAGATATATGAGTAAATCGTTGTCCTAATGTAAGAGAAAATATAGCATAGTTAATATCACATAATGTAAAAAAAAACATCTTTGTTTTTTAGCAAAATTTATCGTGTTTAATAACCTTTCCTATTAATTGCGGTGAGTCAAGTTTTGAATCAAGGTTATAAAAGGCACCATGAATCTTTTTCAATGCAATCCAATGACGTCGTTTCAAAGGAAGAAGCACAAAACCTAATTTATACTCAGTTGGGACATTAAGTATAAAACCCTCGATGTTGTCTAAACAAAGACACTTAGGATCCCTAAAATATATGTGAAAATTGCTAATAATGTTCATTTTAATCATATATAGATATAATCATAATCTTGATATGTAAATAAGTAAATATAAATGTACAGACCTACGTTTGTCAAACCATACAGCTTCACGCCCTCTTCTTTGGAGAGCAGCCATAATAACATTAATATCATAATTGCCAAGTCCCAGTAATGACTTATGAGGATTGATCCATACATCAGGACTTAAACTATAACAGATTTGATCTAATTCTTGCTTACTAAACCCACGCTCTTGAAACAAGTTGTTTAACGCATGTAATGCACATAGCTCCTTTACCTAATTCAATTTATGATCAAATTAATACATAATGCATATTTTTAAAAAATTAACTTAAAAAAACGAAAGATTTATTAGATAGTATAAATGTCACATAGATATTTAACCATCTATGTTTTATTAATAAATGCTTTCTGTAAATCATAATGTTTTTTTCGCACAATAAATCTAGGAAAGATGCGATAATTTATCGAATTACTTGTCGTTCATGATATATGGATCCAGTCATATCAGTCGTTGTGCTTGCAACCATTGTAGCTACATAATTCTCTCCGTCCTCTGTATAAAAATGTAATTGGTCTTCTGGCTTTCTTGTAGGAATCTTTCAAAATCTTCGGAAAAAATAAATCTAATAGCAGACGATCGGCATCAACGAGTTGCCTGGCTTGAGCAGTCAACGACACTTAAACAACTCACGACCACCTTGTTATTATGATCAACGATTTTATGCGCAACAGTGCAATACGGTCATTCAAATTTGGGAAAGTATTTAATAATCATAAGGAAGCAGTGACAGACACAATGAATATTGTGATCAAAATTTTTGCTAATACAATCACTGCGTTGACGATGTTATGAAAGATCAACGAGAGTGCTGGAAAGTGCGGAACTCTATGGGTCAACTCTGAATCAGGGTTATATACGCTCATCACGCTCATGAATAAAAAAATTACAATGCTTTTTGCTGGATGAGTTTCGGAACGCAGGAAAATTGCAAAATCATTTTCGCGAACCGAGAGAGAATCACATGTCGTGTATTGCTGTCCTTCCACGTACAGTCAAGTTCGATACTTTTGATTGTTGTTTTGGCCAAACTTTTTGGCCTGCCTGTATTCTTAATAGTGGGCGCATGCGTATAGACGTGTGTAATTCAATAAGCAGCTGACCACACTGACAGCATCCAAGCATTGTTGCAACATCGTACAGTGGTTGCTCTTACGAGGTTTATATCACGAAGTTTTAATTAAACATTAATTTCACTCTAATCAAAGGATGGACGAAGTAGAAAGCTTGCGACAGCGAATTAAAGAACTCGAAGACCAGCTGCGTGAAAAGAAAGATAAAGATGCGACAACAACGAGAGAAAAAATTGAACATATGTCAGCAGAGGTAGTGGATTCCAATCCGTACAGGTAAATTCTAAATTGATGTTTCTCATTAATTTCTTGTATATTACTTTATTAGAATGTCTTATATTAATGCAGGTTTCGTAAGAAAGCTTGTAATTTTGTTCATTTTTTAATATCTGCATTCCAGCCGATTGATGGCATTGAAGCGCATGGGTATTGTTGAAAATTATGAAAAAATACGAGAGTTTTCAGTAGCTATTGTCGGAATTGGCGGTGTTGGCAGTGTAACAGCAGAAATGTTGACAAGATGTGGCATTGGAAAGGTAAGGAAATAGTAATACCATGTACTGTATCACACATTGTATATGAATTGTTTCAGCTGATACTATTTGATACTATTGATTACTATTGATACTATTGATTTCAGCTGATACTATTTGATTACGACAGTGTAGAACTTGCAAATATGAACAGGCTGTTTTTTCAACCACATCAAGCAGGTCAGAGTAAAGTGGAAGCAGCAGCGAACACCTTAAGTTTCATAAATCCTGATGTGGAAATTGAAACACACAATTACAATATCACAACTGTTGATCATTTTCAAGATTTTATGAATACAATAAGGTATAAGCTTGCACAAATTTACTACAAAGTTTAATATGGATTATTCTATCTTACGCTAGTAGATTTGCATATCAAATATTTTTTCCAATTAACACACACATTTTATGATAAAGTTGAACTTGTCTTTTGCAGTACGTCTAGCTTAAGAAATGGCCCCGTCGATTTAGTATTGAGTTGTGTTGATAATTTTGAAGCTCGCATGGCAATCAATACTGCCTGTAACGAACTTAATCAGAAATGGTTTGAAAGTGGCGTTTCTGAAAATGCAGTGTCTGGTCACATACAATTTATTGTGCCTGGTGAAATGGCCTGTTTTGCGGTGAGATTTTTAAATGTATATTAATTATATTGATTTTTAAGTGGGTTTAATTTTAATAATACATTTGAATTTTCAGTGTGCCCCACCGTTGATTGTAGCATCCAGTGTTGATGAGAAAACCTTGAAACGGGAAGGCGTATGCGCTGCATCATTACCCACTACTATGGGTATAGTGGCAGGCTTCTTAGTACAGAATGCCTTGAAGTTCTTATTACAATTTGGACAAGTGTCTTATTACTTAGGCTACAATGCCATGGAAGACTTTTTTCCTAAAATGATTTTAAGACCAAATCCAAATTGCGACGACACAAACTGTAGGCAAAGACAAAGAGAATATTTGGCAAAACCAAAAGTTCAACAAAAACCGACTGAAATTATTGAAGAAAAACCTGTACATGAAGATAATGAGTGGGGTGTGTATTGACAGATAATTTATAATTTTTAGAAGTGCGAATTTTGTTCATATAATTTCTAATTGAGTATTATTTTATTTCATAGGAATTTCATTAGTTGATGAACAAAGTGGACAACTAGATAAAGAATCAAGTGTATTATCAACTTCAGGTGTACGACGTGCATATACTATACCCAAAACCGATTCAGAGGAAGAACAAACCGTTCCTGAATCAACAGGATTAAGTTTAGAAGAATTAATGGCAGAAATGAAAACAATTTGAAAATGATTTTTGCAGTGTTCAATTGTGAGCAGTGCACACATTCCATACTCAATAATTTCCAATTTTTTAAATATTTGATATCACAGTGAATTATATTTTATTATCATAAATTCTTTTTTCAGTAACAATTCAGTAACAATCCAATAGTATTACATAACTCTATCGTAATTTAATAATGTGAGGAAAAGAAATGAGGGAAAGAATAAATTATGAAAAATGTATAATACAGTATTTGGATGGTTTTTAAGATTCTGTTATAATGAATTGAACAAAAATATATTGTTTAGAAATATTTACATTTTTATATGTTAGATATCTAATACAATTATGTTGCAACCTTCTTTTTGTCACATGAATAACATGTAACAAGGAATTATACATCAAATTTTTTAAGTTTTTAATTAATTAAAAATTTAATAAATAAAGCAAAAATCCTATCAAAACTGTTAGATTATTGAACTATATTGTTGATCGTTTCGATGATGGCAAGTGCGTGCGCATATATTTAAAAATGTGTAAATAAGAGTGGGGATAAATACAATACATCGGCTGGTATTCATAGTCCGTTCTTATATTCAAGATCGTTTTAAGTACAAACTTATATTCGCTCTCTTTGTCAGACACAATCTATGTGTGACAAAGAGAGCGAATATAAGTCCGTGCTTAAGACGTTTTTGAATATAAGAACGGACTATGAATACCGCCCATCGTGTCCATATACGATTGGTAGTTTGTCGTCGATTGGAAATTTAAAACTGTTGAAACAAATTTCATCACTTCTATGGTAAAGGCGAACGTGTTAGAACGTGTTAGAATGTGTTAGAACGTGTTACCACTTTTACTTTGCTTTAATTCACGGACACTTCTAAATAAATCATCAAAAATGTTCTGGAGTAAGTTATAGTTTTATAGTTAACAAATTATTTTATCGCCAATCATTATAATTATTTAATTTTTAAAGTGAGATTTTAAGTTAACCTAAACTTTAAACCTTCAAAGTTTATAATATATTATAAAAAGTGTAAATTAAAAAAAATTAAAATATTTTAATATAAAAAAAAAATTACTTTAAATTTGCAATTTAATATTTTTTATAAACTATAAAATATTTTTTTATCTTATATAATGTTAGAAATTAATATTAATATTCGTAAACATTGTTTAACAAAAGTTACTTTTATATGTGCAATTTATAATGCATTGCTACGTTCACACCGAAGATTACGTGTTTCGGAGTCACCAAAATGCGTGCATTATTACATTTAATTAATTCCACATTATTTATGTTGTAGAATTGAGAATACAATCGACATATGTATACGCAATGAAAATCAAGAATGTATTACATATAACTAGGGCGTCTATAGATTATACAACTCAAGGTAAGTAAACTAATACGTTCGAAAACTAACTGTTCTAAGACTCATTTTCTTTCATTTTGATATGCTTTTATTTTAAAGTATAGCAATATGAAAAAGTTTCAAATTAGATAACTACCAAGCGAATTTAAAATCAATTTAATTAAAAAGAACTTTGTAATTATACATAGATGCTTGTATCACAAATCGTATTCTACAGAACAATGTTTGATTATTCAAATATTTTTATTTCTTTTTATTGCAGCTAGTTCAACTGTATCATTATATATAAGACATCAGAGACAATTGCAAAAAATTTGCACTTTTTCGAATGTGGAGCGTGAAAAATGTACTGTCCGACTAGATTTAACATTTGATAACGAAGATGACATGGTGGAATTTTTTTTGGATGGACTTGGTCTTGTACGTGTGAGTGGATCTGAAACCCTCCCTCCCATCACACCCTTCCATATATCCCATTTAAATGTGATAACTATAAGGCAATTGGAAAGCAAGGATTTTGAGCATGACGCCGATAGTTGCTCTAACATCCAAAAGGAAAGTTTGCCAAAAGATGAAACAATAAAACAGATTTGTAATAATGTCTACTAAGAATAAAGATAATAATGTCTGAAAGAGTTGTAAAAGACTTCTGTACTCAAAAGTTTTCAATTTTTAAATATTTAATTTCATATGTGATTTGTACTCTATTATTGTATTTATAATTGTATTGTATTTGTATTCATATTTTAAATGCAAAATTCTTGTTTTTAATAACAATAGTATTACATAAGCCCAATAGTATAACTATAATGTAATAGAGTGAGAAAAAGAAATAAATTATGAAAAATGTATAGCACAGTATTTGGATAGTTTTCAAGATTGTATCATAATGAATTAAACAAAAATATATTTAGAAATATTTACATTTTTATACGTTAGATATGTAATATAATTATGGTAAAACTTTCTTTTTGTTATATGAATAACATATAACAAAGAATTATACATCAAATTTTTCAAAACATACAGATGGTCCCTCTTCTTCGTAATCTTCTCTCGTTACCAAAAGATTAGAAAATGTTGCGTCCTGAGAAAGTAGTTTTCCGCCATACCATGCATACGTTACTGGACTGAAAGTAGAAAAATGATTAACAACAGGCTTTTCGCAGTATATAGATAAAACAGAAATAAAATGTACAAAATACTTTTGTGGCAAGTAGACATTTATAGAGTATTCCGCTGGAGCTAAACTCCGAACTTCTTTGTATATTCTGTCTTTAAATCCTGGAAACTTTGCATTACCCCCAGTAAGAATAATGTTGGATAATAAATGAGGCCACGTTTCTTCGTCACAACCCTTTATGGAATCCATAATGGCTTCAGGAATACCCATTTGTCGAATACCGACATCCGACGGATGGAATAATATTTCTGGTATCGCAAACCTCTCATTAGACAAACGTAGTGTTTGTTGCTCATTAGGTGGCTCCGGATCTTTGAGATATCCACGTCGCAGCGTCGTATAATCCGGTAATACATAATCTTTAACAATGGTATTATTTTCTAGTTTACATTTAGCCCGTTCCATGTCTTTAAAGAAGTCTTGAGATACGAAACAACAGTCTTCTTTCACTTGATTAATTACATACGTTTCATCCATAACGTGCAACTGACGATAAGATATTATCTCTTTCAGATGATTCGTAAGAAGCTTTCCACCCACATCTATCCTTCGTATGCCCTCTTTTACTTTTGTATCATTAATGTAAGGTATAATGTGTGTAAAACTGTATCCACTATCCACTACTATACAGCATTTCGTATTGGGATTTTCCATTCTGTAATTGTAACATGAGAGATTTGCTGCGTTTATTCCTAGGAAACTATGACATTCGTATTCCTCAAAAAAGATCTCTGTCATAGCCTCTTGGACACTGGGAAAGTTGAATATTGGTTCCGTCACTATCACAGACAACTGACTTAAATTAACTGAGCAAGACTCTTTCGAAAATACATAGTCCCACACAGTTTTCTGAATATCCCAGTTCACCAGATAACCTTTCTGAAAGGGTAACATGTAAAACAATCCAGAGGCATCTCTACATTCCTCGATTTGATTTCCTATAAAGGGTCTGCGACGTTCGCTCTTTGCTTTCATTATGCAATTCGGAACTAATCTGAAATATTTTCATTGATTAACAATTGAATATGCATTGTTTACGAACGTGTATGTCCGCTTCGTTGCGTTGACATACTTACTTGGGTGTTTCGTAGCATAAACCAGCTTTTGCAGTACACGCACCATTGTCGAGAATAAAAGCGGAGTTACTCATCTTCAAAAGATACTTTATGTAAGATTTTAATTGTAAATATGCCGTATCGGTCAATCACTTTGTCCTTACTTGTAGTTGCTTAGCGTTACCGGCTTCGTTCAAAATATACAGTAACCGTGAAACAGTTGACCGAGCGCTTACTGAGCAAATATTAACGCACTTTCATAAAAGGCTGTTTGAATAATTTTGTACATACTTGAACGCAATTTTTTAGCACTATAGTTAATAATAATAGACGTAAATATTTTTTAATTAATTATTTAATATTGCAGAAAAAAGTTGAGATGTTTAATTATAACACAGCTATAATTATTAATGTAGAAATAAGAAAACCTATTTAAAAATTTGTCGATTTTAATCCTATCGCTACTTGTCAAATTATATTCATCTAAATATTAGTTATTTTTTTATTTGCAATATAATTTAATCTCATTTTACTATACATTGCAAAAGATTGCTTAGGAAAGGTTTGATGACTTGTATGGTATCTTAAATCATGAAATATATTACCACCAATGTGTGTTTCTTATTGTATTGCATACAATACATAATTTTCAGAAATTATAACATAAGATCAATTATTAATATTTTATCATTTTTATACATTTTGATATGAAAAAGCCTTTGTGACAATATCAATTAATAAGTCCCATTTTTGTCTCATAATATAAATATTATAGAATATTTTTTTATGAATTTGTATTAGCATTAGGTCCACGTCGGCGGCCAAAGGTTTGGACAACGTTGACAAATCTACGATTATATTGGATTCGTCGTTTAGCACGGCCAGTTTTCTTCTTGCTCTTTTCTTGCTTTTCAACCTATAAATTAACAGTGTTGATATAAAAGTTACTAATAACTTAAAAAGTAAATAATAAAGCATTTTTACCTTGGGTGTTTGAGCCTTTACTTTGCCAGCACGCGCCAACGAACCATGAACTTTTCCTAAAAACGAAGAATAAAAATTTAGAAAACAGAAAAGACAATTATGTAGCATTGGATATCATTTATCTTTTATCTTTTCATTATCATAAAGAACAAATTAAGAAACATAATTGTAATTTACTTTGCACTCAAGAAAATAAGAACAAAATTGATATTTTTTTCACAAGTTAACTTACCTCCCAATAATGGTACAGTTAGCTCAAGTGTATGTGATGAAAGCTCATTAACAAAAATTTCATCTGCTAATAAAATTCCTTCACAGTAAAGTTGAAATTCCCCTTGTTCGATACCTTGAAGACGTGCAATCCTTTCCTTTAAACAATTAAAAATGTTATTAAATAACTAAATATTAAGCTCCACAGCATATATATAATATACATATATAAGATGCTTAATTTTTATTCTATATATCAATATGCTTATTCTATATACTTGTTTAGTTTAGCTAATAATTTTGTAGAAAATTTAATGTAGAGCAAAAGTACAGTAACTTTTACTCTTAAAATAAATTTACATTTTAGTTTTGCATTATTGCTCCTTCTAGCATTCTAAAATAAGCAAATGCTAGATTATCATTTTAATGCCACATCCTTATTACTTAACTATTTTTTAAAGATAAATTTAGATATTTACTATAATATCAAGATAATATTATGTTAAGATATGCCATTACTTTTATGTGCAGTATTTTCTCACTATCTTGACATTCAACAACAGTTGTTTGCTGTCCACGTATTTGCAGCTGCATGATGATAGTGTATGTAGTATCTTCTACAGTCTCTCACAAGAGCTCTGAAATATATTAATTTAAATAGTTATGTTCTTACTAGAATACATATAAAATACATAGAACATGTCTCTATGAAAATTTCAACAATATTTTTGAGGTTATTTTGATCGTTTCAGTGGTATATGCTGTTTTTAATAAGACTACCATGTTGCAAAAATGCCTAAAGTAGATTGAATTTAAATTAATTTTCCATATGTCTAAAAAATAATGGATTAACTTGTTTGTACATCTATCATAGCCATTTTTATTACAAATTACAACACACTTACCTCTCAACGAGCAATTGATGATTCCAAGAGACAGAAAGGTGTTCCAAACTCAGATGGCGTGGTCAAGTGTAATATGGCGAGATGTATGTATGCTGTACATCATACACAGCTATCACACTTCCTGTTAAGTACTTTCAAGTCAAATTTGTATTCGTGTTTTGAACAATTGTACACAATAATTGTTATGTGAAAAATCCTGAATTTTTTAAACAGCTAAGTTTTTAGTTAATTAAAATATAATAAGTAAATTTAAAGCGAAAATCTTATTGGAAGTGTTAGATTATTGAACTATGTTGTTGATCGGTTTCGATGATGGCAAGTGCGTGCGCATATATTTAAAAGTGGCAAATAAGATTTGGGATAAATACGTCGTGTCCATATACGATTGGTAGTTTGTCGTCGATTGGAGATTTATTTCAGACGGTTGAAACGAATTTCATCACTTCTATAGTAAAGGCGAACGTGTTAGAACGTGTTACCACTTTTATTTTGCTTTAATTCACGGACACTTCTAAATAAATCATCAAAAATGTTCTGGAGTAAGTTATAGTTTTATAGTTAACAAATTCGTAAGCATTGTTTAATAAAAATTACTTTTATGTATGTAATTTATAATGCATTGCAACGTTCACACCGAAGATCACGTGCTTCGCACTCGAAGTCACCAAAATGCTTGCATTATTACATTTAATTAATTCCACATTGTTCATGTTGTAGAATTGCAAATGAAGTCGCAAACAGCATACACAATGAGGATTCATGATCCAATACATATAACTATGGCGTCTCTAGATATTATGAGGTCAAGTAAGTAAACTTTAATACGTCAAATACTCTGACTGTTCTAAGACTCATTTTTTTTCATTTTGATATGTTTTTATTTTAAGGCATTATTTTTATAGCAACATGAAAAAGTTTCAAATTAGATAACTACTAAACGAATTTAATTAAAAAGATAACTACTAAATCAATTTAATTTAAAAAAATTTTGTAATTGTAACATAGATGTATCACAAATTATATTCTAAAGAACAATGTTTGATTAGTTAAATATTCTTATTCCTTTTAATGCAGAGTCTTCAAAAGCACCAGTATATGTAAAACATTGGGGAAAATTCCATTTGATTTGCACTTTAACGAACAAGAGATATAATATCCCACTAGATTTAAAGTTTGATAGAAGAGATGGTGAGGTGGAATTTTATTTTTACCCGTTCGAGGGGGATGGATATGTATATCTGAGTGGATATGAAATCCGTGTGAGCTTTAAGTTCGATCGAAATGCAATAATTACTAAAGTGCTGAGAAGCGATCAGTTTTATAAAGAGGTGCTTGTAGAAAGGACTAATTATATCGCTTTTGACAAAACGTTCAATGAGATAGATAAAGACTTGCCAGAAAATGAAAAAACAAACCATATCTGTGAAAGTAACAATATCAACTCTGATGACAGTAGAAATGATAATGAGTCTAAGGATCTACATTTGTGTATTGATTTGTTTTCTGAGTTGTGTACTGTGAAAAAGGGTAACGAGGAATACGATAAGAAAACGAAAGATAATGTCGAATATAAGGATGATAATGATGAAGATCTTGATGTTGATCTCGATGATGATGATGATGATGAAGGTGATGATGATGATGACGACGACGACGACGACGACGACGACGATGATGATGATGACGATGATTGATGATGATGATGATCTCGATGATGATGATGATCTTGATGATGATGATGATGATAATAAGGATGATAATGATGAATTTAAAAATAAAAATAAAAATGAAAAAGGAGATGCAGATAATGATGATAATATTAATAAGGATAATAATCTGATAATAATAGCGATGATGATCATGAAGACATAAATGATGACAAGGAAACGGAAAAAAATAAAAAATAGAATTACAACAAAAAAGAAAGTTTGCCTGCTAATATGTACTAATTAACGGTAAGGAAAAATTGTTAAAGAATAATATAAGAGTAATAGAAATAAAATGCGGTGTTGGGTGCGGAAGACGATAAAGTAGCTCATGCATGTATCACAGATCGTTGGCAGAAGAAACTTGGGGATGAAGAAAAGACATTCTTTATTTCCCCGAGAAAGCCATCATATTTTAAGTTTAAAATTAACCAAGCCATTGGTATGAACTTTAAGATAGGAATTACCAAATTGAGAATTTGCGAGATACGTCGTATTATAGCACCACTTGAGATCACGGGGCACGTATAATATTCGTGGTCATTTATTCTTGCAATTTAAGTTTCTTGTTAATGTTACTATGTTATTGAATCTTAATATTGCCTTTATAAGTTTTTTATGTTTTTATTCAAGCTTGAAACTTTTATTAATTTGAGTGTGCATATGTGATTTAAATTGAACGGCAATGTTTTTTTTACAGATTTGGACGTATGGGAGTCTCTCTTGTGAATCTTAAAAATTTCAATGTTATATATGATATTGAAGTTAAAGACTGATAATTAGTTTAAATATTGAACTCTTTTGCCTCATTCTACCTCATTTTACTTTTATATTTGCGTTATTTTTGTAACTTAAGTTTGTTATAATGCTATATTTTGAGATACTTTTAAAAATCGATAAATAATGTAACATATTAATGAAATCATGCCTAAAAAAATTAAAACGAATGTGTATACATGTGTAAAAATAGGTATATATAATGTATATATTATATGTAGTTACGTGTAATATATACATTATAAACCTTATATATATTAACATATATGTGTCAGTGAGATTATGAAAGTATATATTTTTTGTTTTGAGTTATTTTAATTTTATAGATTTTATATAAAATTTAATAACACAAAATAAATGATCAAATCAATAATTAAAGATTTTTAATTTTGTCCACTTTTATAATCACAAGCATATATGTGTATGTATATATATATATATGTTTTTTATTCTTTAATATTATACATATATATGTATGTATATATATATATATATAATATAGAATATTTTTAGACAATTTTATATTATGTACAACTAAATAGTGATGATATATAATAGTGCAGCAATATTTTTACTGAAGTTTCTAAAATTGACATATTTTTAATAGTGCTCAAGAAAAATGTGTTCTAAATAAATGAGATATTTATACTAATAATTTTATATTGTAATATATTGACATCTTTTCACACATTCCTTAGAATTTCTATTTCTCATCAATCATGTTTAGTAGATTCATAATGCTAAACTAAAATACAAGTTTGCTTAGGATATTGATCTTTCTATTACATATTTAGGAGAAATAATTATTCTATTCAATAAATCTCGAACCAAAGTAATCCCTACAAGCCACATAATCGGTCTTAATATAATTTATATTTTAAAACATCAACATTTTAAATATGATAGAAAACTTGAACATATAACTAATTGAAACAAGAGACTGTCTTTGATTTATATAATTTGCAAAATATTAATAGACTTTGTTTTAGATACAAAGTATCTCGTAAATACAATCGCTGTTGATAGATAGAATATATTCAAATTAAAAACTTTTAGAAAAACTTGACAAGGTTTGGTGATCAAATACGAATGTTGAAACAGTCCATGTTGATTAAACTAAGCGCATATTCCAATAAAATACGGTTTAATCGCTTTTCTTTACTGCATCTCGATTATCCTTCCATGACAAGGTACAAGTTCCGTTTTTACATTCTTTTACTAAATTAGGACATGGTTGATCCTCCTTGATCTCTTCTCCTTTATTCCTAAACTGCCACCATTTGATCAATAGTGGTTGTATAAAGAATCTCCATATTATCAGGAATATAGGAACAGCAAAGCATGGCACGCACACCATTTTGTATGTCACTTATTTTATGATCTAAAATAACAGAAGCAATTTATCAAAAGATAGAAAAGGAGAATATTTTTAGTGATATTACAGTCGTCACAATTTTTATTTTAATCAATAATTTTTAACAATAACGTTCTTCTTTGTATATGATTTACTAAAAAAATTATTCTTACCTCGAGAAAAAGTGCTATAGTTTTTATAAGACAACAATCGGGCAAATACGATATACAGATATGAACATAACCTGGATGACCAGTCAATATGAAGTTTGTGTATAGCCCAACACTTCGACGTTCCGATAAATATGAAAAATGTCGATTAAAATGCTCAAGTAAATGCTTCAAACCAATATGTTTTTAAATGCCGATTTCACCATTTGTTAATATTCGTCCGTCAATATTCGTGAGTGGTACGTTATCTCTCAGCTGTCGTCACTCATCGTCCGCAGCGCCGCGCTGAGCGCGACTAGTGTTAGACTAGTGTTAAATATGCGCGTGCGTGCGCAAATTATCAAAGTAGATTTTACATAGATACCCGTTTCACCGCGCGATATCAGTGATAGTATTACCACGCCTCCTTATAAGTCTAATTGTTTTCTAATACAATTCGGTAATGGTACGCAATATTTAATCTCTTGTACTCCCTGGGCGCCGCTACAGCGCATACATAAATGTGTGCCGCAACTCTTGGAGTGCAAAAAGTTAATAAATATACACGTGAAAGGACATGGTCACAGCCATATATTGTGATTGCAAGATCTTTCTAATTTCACTTAAGTATATATATATATATATATAAGGTACTGAAGGGATACATACGAAAGTATATATGTATCACAAAATGTTTGCAGTAAAGCTATCGCGAAATTCGATAGAGTATTCTGAACGTCAGCGGATCGTTTCTATAACTTACAAGAGAATACACTTGTGTGCGCGTTAAGTTAATCTGAATGAATTTTTTTTTTGTCACCTCACTCTTACATGCTCCCAAACACCTTGCGACCCCTCGTTACGAATAAAGAGACAATAATGACGCTCAACACGAAGAAAGCTAGCCCGAAAAGGATTGTCAGTATTCGGCACCATTGCCGTTTCCGTTTCGCTCTCGCGATCGCACGACCTAAACGCTCGGCGCGCGCCACATCGAGCGTGAAGTCAAAATCGTCTCCTAGGCCTTTAACGGTTAAGCCGCGATGATTCCAATCATTCGCCGTCAATGAAGCAATCGTACTTTCGCTGGACGAACCGACGTCACTGCATTCCAATTGCTGGAACAGTATCGTAAATTAGACAACAAATACATCGCAATCTTCCTTTAAAAAAATTATGATAATTAGACTGAATTACCATAGAATATTGCAATTCGGTCGAGGTGAGTCCGTTCCGACACTGCTTAGAGTCTCCGTCTAGCCGGAATGATTTCTTGGAGCAGCTGTTCTCAATATGCTTTCCGTGAAGGTATTTGCGAACGTACGGGCCAGGCGTTTCGCAAGATTGTTTTTTCGCAATGCCCAAACTCTTTCCCGCTTCGCCGTCCTCGCATCCCGTTATTTTGTTCTGAAGCAATGGCACGGATCGCGCCGAGCTGTGCCCGTAGAGACAGCGAGGGCCGACGTGGACTTTAGAATCAGCCGGATTCACTCCCGACGACACGTTTCCGCTGTAGCCCGACGACAGATTCTTGCTGTTGAGCGTCGTGGGTGCGCAAACGTACTCGTACACGTTGTCGCTACGCGAAGGCAACCGCAGGGAAATGATGCGCGAGATATCGCGCAGGATGTCCTCCGGTGTCATAGTAACGTCGCTGTCTATCACAGAATTCAGAGTCCGAGACAACTCGAGCAGCACCTCGCGCGCCGATGGTCTCGGCAGCGGCGACACCGGTGGCGGCGGTGAATAATCGTACACGCAACCACACACGTGACACGTGTAAATACCTGTAAGAAGAAAAATCTGATCAGTGAGATTGCCGAAATTTTTGCGATAAGAGGAGGACTTCACTTCGTTCCGACCTTCGTAATCGGCATTGCGCTCTTCGGCGTGACGATATATGACTGAGGGCCAGATAGACCGCGGACGTCCGTACGACGGATCCCTCGCCGACGCGTAACAAGAATACGAACCGGCCGACAGCGGCGGAGAGTGGCTCGAGTAACCGGAACTGGTCGACGTTCGGTAACATCTTTTCGGATGATTTCGCGTTGCCGTCGTGACCGTCGACTCGTCGCCTGCGATGCCGCCTACGAACTTGGAGATCTCACCGTCCGCCAAGTCCGATCTTACCCTGAAAGGTTTATTACGTCGAGTATAGCGAGAGAAATGTGTATGTTGATTGCTATCGGGAGACAGAAATAAATTCATTTCACTTCATATTATCAATGTAATCTGTTATTATTATTGAAATCTAACTTTCTTCAAAGAGACTCGGCGGAGAGAAATTCTTTGCATCGATCTAATTCGCGCGAACCAGACGGCATTCTTTTCGCATTTGTCGTAAGAGAGAACCCTAAGAACGTACTGGTGAAAACGTAAACGGCTCGACTCCTACCATTCGATCTCGTACGGCTCGATTCTAGGCGACGCGGCGTAAACGCGCCTACCGGTTTCTATACCATCGGGATTGATCCTGGCTGCGGAATCGCGCGCGATCGCCGCTCGCCTCGCTGCGCCGGCGCTCGTCGAGTCCTCGAAACGCATCCCCCGACGGCACGTGGCGTTCGACGACGCATTCGGGCGCTACCGCAGGGATCGGATGCAGGCTCGTCCAAGGCCAGTAACCATCGCTGCATGCTCAATCAACCGCGCTTTCGTCGTCCACCACCAGCCCTGCGGCTTCCTGAAAAAAAAAAAAGACATCGAATTGCTGTTCTTTTTTTTAATCGAAAAAGCGAATCTTGCGCGCGCTCAGTCTCGCCCGCGTATCTTTCTTTCTCCGGATATTTATCGAAGGCGCGCGCGACGCGGCGCGCGGCGATGCACGGATGATCCACGTTTCAAGGTCGCTTTCACATTCGTTATGTTTCACGTAAGAAATCGGTCGACGTAAAGCGCCTATTACGTTATTCAGGACGTGTCGAACGCGCGAACATTAATGGAGGTCATCGTCGTCCTTCGTTTTTTTTTACAGCTCGCATTCTGTGGCTATTATACAATATTGTTATACAACGCTTCTCGGCGCAAAACTGTCCCGACTGCTTCCAATTTCGTTCGCAATCGTTATCGACACTCCCGCGCGAGCGGGTTAGCTCTTTTCTAACCACACGCGCCAAAATTTCGTCATGTGACGTGCGAGAAAAAAAGAGAAAGCGGATGCGACAATAGCGATCGGCGCTTTCGAATTAGGTCAACTTCAGTATTGGAAAGCGCCCTTTAATGTTTGTGAAATTCGGCTACGTGTCACGTCACGATGTATATCCGAAAACGATATATCCAATCGGCGCGGCCTCACGCTATCCCATGTTTTCCTTTTCAATTCTTCGTCGAAATTTTCCATCGATCGTCCGATGTCTCCGACGATTATTACCTCACAGCGTCACTATAGGTGTAATTATCCGGAATCCGCGAATCGACGTGCGTGCTGCAACACTCGGTCGTCGTACATTCCATCATCAGCAGCCATCCGGCCGGCCACTTTCACATCGGCGCGGCACGTTCGTCAATGTTTACGTATTACACCGTGTCACCCTGGAATGTCGATCGATGTTACAAAAAAAACTCGGCGTGTGAGTAAAGTGTAATATTACTACGTAACTTGATCGGTCACGACCAACTGTGCGATCGGTGATAATTTCCAACAGGCGCGTTCGAGTATCTCTGCGAATGATCATTTCTGCAGATGAGAATGTTTTTTTTTTTTCTGGTTTCTTACCCGCTTAAATTGGCAACTCGCGATTTAATTACGGCTACTGGTTTCTAAATGAGATATACACTTCTTTTTTCAGACACGCGTCGCGTAACAGAACGCAATCTCTCGTGTAAATCGCAACGAAAGGGATAAGAAGCTGATGTAAAGGCGCTTATTAGAATCCGCTGATAATTGTATAATAATAATTTGTACACTTATATAATCGTATACCCTTACATCTCTATCTGTAAGTTACATTAATCAAATTCATCATAAAAATATCAGGTGATAAAGATGTGACCGAACATTTTCTAAACCTGAAGATAATGGCGAAGAAATTAGTCGTTTATAGCTGTATTAACGATAAAGTAGGCACCTTTTATGCATTGATTTTTAACGAGCGTTGTAAAAGAGAGGTGAAATGTAATTTTACGCAGTCGAGCCTCCGGATGGTTTATCTTTCCAATTAATGCGAAGATATCTTCGATCTTTTCACTGCTTTTCTCGCTCTAACGTGGCCGTGTGGCCAGTCAAATGTGAAATACTGAGAAAGCAAGGCGAGAAATGGCAAACTCATGAGAAATACAAAGGTAAACCACCCGGCGGCTCCCGGCTGCATACAATTAATATTTTCTCCTTTAAGTTACGGCCTTTCTATGGCAGTTGCGCGTTGATACATGTGTACAAGTGTGTAAAGGGAGATATGTACCTGTACACGCACGCAGGTACGCACGGTGCGGCTGCCGAGCGGCGCCTGGTCCGCGAAATGAAATCGCGAGAAATATTTGACTCACGGACTTTCACTCGCACTTATTCAGGGCCGCCGGCGGAAAAAAGATCATCGCCAGCCACCACCGTGCTGCTTCGTTCCGAATGCTATTTTGTGCTCGATACGGGGGGGAGGGGGGGAGGGGAAGGGGCGAAAGAGCCTCACGATCGCTTTCACGGCATCGGAAATTTTGATTTCTGATAATTTTCCGCATAATTCCTCCGATCGATGGATAGATTCTTACGCTGCATACATACCGTTCTAATTAGCCGTTTGCACTTTATATCGCACCGATGTCTCAAGTGGCTTCGATTTACCGCAATTTTACAGGTCGCGACGGTCGCAGTTCCGTGCGCGTGGCCACCATGCGACGAAAAGTTTCATCAGGACGTCCGTTTCGCCTGACGCGCCGATTCGTATTCGCGTACCTATTTGCGAAACAAGACACTTAAGATTCAAAACCGGTATCCGATACTTTCCAAGTGATATCTAATTTAACAGCAGATTTAAATTGGTGACGTTAAGAAAGAAAAAAAAAAAAGAGCCGACAGCGAATCGTGACGAAAAAGTGTCGATCAGAAAGCGAAACAGTAATCACGAATGATGATTGAGAATAACTATTGTCGATTGAGCAATGTTCGCAAAATGAGATCAATTTCTCGACTTGTGGCTACAAATAAAAGGTATTGAAAAAAAAAAGAACAAAATAATACATTCGCCGTCAGACAGAGGACGACTCCTTTGCTCATCGAGCACTTTTTATCGGCGCATCCCTCGACAGACAGTAATCATCATTTTAAATATGTCAGGAGGAGAACCGCGCACCGATCAACTCTTACGTTCGTCACGTATCGCATGATTATGTGTAATCTATTTTGCTCATTACCTCTCTCTTACGCCTCCCCGCTTTTCCTCTTCATATTCGCGCCGCACGATGCCAGAGGATGGGCGCACGCAGACGGGGCTAACTTTCACACGCGCGTAACGTCGATCGCATCTGATCGCATCCGCTGCTGCACACACGACGGTCCAAAAGAAACTGAAAGACCTGCGGCACCGGCGATCAGGCATGCCATCCAGTTGTACAACACCGTCACCGCGAGACTTGCCGTCTTCCGTTTCACGAGGGTTGTATTCTGCTGTTCGCCTCCATCTTCATTTCGCTCTCATCACACGTCTCATCGATTCCTTTTCTTTATGCTCATTATGTTACTTCCTTCGTGGCGCCTACAGCTATCCTCAGTTTCATGCATTCTTACACGTCCTACTAGTTAGATGATAATATCTAAAAGAACATTAAAATTATTCTCTTGCATTTTAAACATACATTTTTTATGTAAATTTTTAAAATTTTAATTTTAAGGGATTTTAGATTTATACCATACTTAAAGTTGCGTGCTAACGTAATGCATTTTTAATCTTTTTCTTACAAATAATTAATACATACATGCATATAATTGGTGTTTCAAGTCTCCATATTTTACATAAAGCTGTCCATACACATATAAATCTAATATCTCCTTTTCTTATGTATTGTTCAATGTTTTTAATATTATCATATTTGTATTGTATATTGCACATTTAATATAAATTATCTTCAAGTCTGAATCATGAGAAGAGATTCAACTTTATTTGATAGTCAAAACCGTCTAAAAAATTGTGCTGTGTATTTCACTTTATATTAAATTTGAATAAACTCCTTAAATAAAGACAATTTTCATAGTAATTGATGTTCAATAAATTGATTCATCCATGCTTTTTTTGTCGAAATTGGTTGAAATACTTCTTTTTTCTTAATGTGACACTATAAATGTTTGATGAAACAAGTTTTTAAAAAATAAAGATAAATATTATAGATAAAAAATCATTAACAAGCTTCTAAATGCGTTGCTCAAATGATTCTAAAAAAATCGTCCTAAAAGAACTGTAAAACTCAAATAGAAAATTATAAAAAATATCCAAAATAATAAACAAACCTTTTTATTTATCTTCTTCTGTGGCATTAATTACAAATACATATGAGACGAATATATGCATTGTAATGGTATTACCAGCAAATTTTTTTGTCCCAAAAGAAAAAATCTCATTGGATGCTTATTGGAAGCGTCAAATATTGCGATGTAAATTGAGCATAATGTATCATTGGTTTATCACACATAGTTTGCTCTTCTATTATCGTCAGTATTCAATGCTCGTAAATGTTCGTCTCACGCATGAGAGAAGACTTTCCAGATTGGATTGTGTTTAGGATTATTAAAAAATAGTTTAGTGATCTTCGCACGTCGCTTTTTTGCGGATAAACTATATTTCCTTGTTATAATAATAATAACAATGACATATCTGAATTCATGGGAAGAATTCGAAAAAGGTGCCGAGAGGTTATATCTACAAGATCCAATAAATGTATGTTTTACAAAACTATAATATAAAAGATGTTATATTTATTATATAATCCTTTTTAGTGCTATTTATATTTTAATATAAAGTCAATAATAATTTTTTAATTAAATTATTTGATTGTAGGAATACAAGTTTAATCAATATGTATTAATTTATCTTTCTACCTTTATTGATGTCAATTTGTTGAATTTTTGTGATAAATTATTGTGTATTGTAAATTAAAAATTTAGGATTAACATGAACAAAAATATATATAAATATAAAAAGTATTGTAGAGAATAATCTTACTAAAATTAAAATATTTTTGCACATAACATTTTATTTTACAAAATGCATTTTATATGATATTAATAACATGTTTATTGATTCTTTTTTATATAACTTATTATTAGTCGTCGGTTATTAATAAATTAGTTATATTTATTTTATTACATACATCCAAAATGTTTACTATTGCTACTTTATGTTATCTATCGCTAAGCTTTTTTCGTTTTCTGTCAGCTCTTTGTGCTACAGTGAAGGCAAAAAAAACAGTACTATGACATAGTTAAATAGTATGTAATATTAGAAATTAAATTATTTTATTTGCAAATAATAAATAAAATCATTAATATCATTCTGTATGTTATTTTAACTTCTTTTTTTGTTTTGTTTCAGACTCGATATACAATGAAATATTGTCACAGTAAAGGAGTTTTATGTCTAAAATTAACAGACAATCGACGGGTAAGCAATTTAGAATAAGTTTTTAAAATCTTGTCATTGAGAACACAGAATTACTAATATATAAAATCTGTTTACAGTGCCTCCAATATAGGACAGAAATAGCTCAAGATTTAAAGAAAATGGAAAAATTTATAGGCAACCTCATGAGACATATGGCATCAAAAGATATTTAAATAAGCAAGATTTATATTGATTTATATATAGGAAATACGCTTATCATGAAGACTAACATATTTTTATTCAACAAAGTTTTTTTTCATGAGATTCAACAATTGTGTGGTCCATGGATATTAATTTTGTTTAAGGTATGAAAGTTTTCTTAAATATACATTTGAATATACAACTATTTTATTTTGTATTAAATTTTTATGAATATTTTGGGCGGCTCCGTTGCCTCCTTGTTAAAGTTCTGAAACAGTCAAGATTATTATAAATTAAATTAAGCGATAGAGAATATAAGTAGTAAGAATTTTTCCAATATTTATAATGTATTATAATGTGTATATATATAATATATATACATTATATATAACGACTTTTTTAATATCTATCCAAAATGTGTGATTACAAGTCATAATGCATTAGACATTAATAAAGCCAGGTATGAATCAAATCGAGATTTGATTTAATACTCGAGTAAGAAGAAAGCACAAAGCGACAAAAACAAGCACTTACGATATAATGGGTTGAAGAACAGCATCCAGAGTAGTGTCAACAGGAGGGTAGATTTCTTGATTTGAAGGCAGTTCATAGCGTACCTCTCCCCCTAATTGCAATTGTGTCTATACCAAACAAAACCGTTTTACTAATCTACTACTCGGAAAAACAGTAAATAGTAAAAGCTATATATTATTAGCATGCATATACGAAAGTTGTGTCACCGAGAAAGATGTACACGATTCTAATGCAGACATCTTCAGAATTTACGACATACTTGAAAACCAAAATTTTCAGGAGACCAACAGAAAAACCTCAACCACATTTGTTCGCAGAAACACTTTGTGTTTTTATGAAGAAAAAAAAAAAAACAAACGTGATGTAATGTGTGTATGTGTGATATCAATCTTTCGTATGAATCAATATTAAGTTCTTGTTTAGAGTGAAAGCGGTAAAAGAAGCGCAAAGTACGTGAGATGAAGTGTTACTCATCAGCTTTTACTATTCGCAAACGACTAATTGTCCGAGCAAAGTGAAATGCGCATTACTCAGTCTGCTTAAATGGCTATTAAAGCGAAGATAATAAAAATGCTGGCGAATTGGGATACCTACTACGTGAATAGGTTTATTGCTGTCGGCGGAGCTTGAGCAGCAGCTTGAAAAGTCCTGCGGCGTGCTTTCCCCGAGTCCGCTGTCGGTATTATTGCCTATTGACATTCTGTTGTTACGAATATAATAAAAGTCCCTCTTCGTGTTACATTCGTATCGAGCTTCGGGAAACTTTGCCCCGATTAGGCTGGACGTCGCCGACAGCAAGTTATAACTTCCATCACGATTATGCCGCACGATTCTTCCGTCTCTTTTGCCAATGGATCCGACAGTTCTGAAAGGGAATCCTTGACAGTCTGGCAACTTGTGTCATTTTAGCCAACCACCGGTTCCGTCGTAGACTCGTCTCTTTCAGACCGATGTGTGTTCTTTCGTTTTTCTTTTTTTGTTTTTTTTATTTAGTACATACGGTTAATATACATACACATTTGGCTCTCACGATGCACAAGTTATTCAATTCAGTAACAGTATCAATCACAGACTCTGCTAATGCATTGGCAATTCTTTGCGAACCGCATTTTAAAGCGTAGTTTTTCGAAAATACGAAGGAACCGCGAAGAGATGCGTTAGATGCGCCGGGAAACGAATATGTTGGGAATCGGGTGGGATATACGAGGAATGTCAAAAGGGAGACCCGGAGCGTGAAGCGCCCCGAGCCTCGAACATTGACATCGTCCGTCCTCCCGGATACCAATATTTATTACACAAATACATGGCGCATAACCGTAAAAACATACATAATGCATGAGAAGATAAAAACACACGAAACAATAATTACGACCCCAGAACGAAGGCGACCGGCACGCATCGCCTTTGAAATTCCACGGGACACAGCCAGAAAGCGAGTGAGTGCCAGCTAGGATGTAAAAACAAATAAACGGGTGCGACAAGCAAAGTTAATTTCACTGATTTATTAAGGATCCGTCATGCTTCGAAATAAATAATAGGGGTGGGGGCATGCTTAAAGTGTAGATAAAATATACATGCTCGAAAATAAATAAAAAATACATGCAGAGGAGATCGATGGGGGGGGGGGGGGGTAACTAAACAATGACTACAGATCCCGTCTCATCCTCCAATTGCGGAGGATGGCTGTGGAGGTTGCAGGCCGTCTTGAGATCATCGTACCTAGGCAGGGACGATGAGTCTGTATCGTCCAATCGGGAATTGTTCGGCTGCAGGGGACATTGCTGTGCAGATTGCGACTGTACCACCGTGTAGGATATCTCCCGGCGTTGCTGCTCGCTCATCCCGCTCGTGTCGATTAGGCCGAATTCTAAGTGTCTGCGAAAGATGTATCGTGCGCACCGTTTAATATTCGTGAAATGGACGAATCAGCGTTCGTCGGGATGAAAAGAAAAAAATAGAAATCGAAAAATTCATTTTCCGCGCGGAAAAAGCGGCCTACAAATTGCTCTGTGGTTGCGTGAACCAACTGTCAACTATCTCGCGAAACTCGTGGCACTGTAACAAATGTTAGTATTTGATATGTATGTACTTTCGGAGTTCATCCGGCAGCGGCTGCTTCTGGGAGGGACTCCGATGTCTGCTTCGGTGTCTTCGTCGGGGCTCCGTATGACTCACCTGTAACACGTTAATTAGGCGAATGTTACAAGAAAGGTAATTTTGCACTCGCGGAAACCTCGATAACGATACTTACGATAGCTTTTTGCACACCTTCCCCTTTCCGCTTCTGCGCTTCCCTCCACTGCGGTTCTGAATCTATCAATTCGTGTCTACGGAGAAAAGTAATCCGTCGAATTAGCATTTGACGCTCCATTTCGAGGAGTGTATAAATAATTAGTATACAAAAACGTCGTTTTTCATGCGAAAATATATGCAAAATGCGTTATTAAGGGTCAGTCAACTCCACCGTTGATGGGAAACGACGACTCATTATCGTCAAAGTGCTTTAATTACTAATGCTTGTAAGGGATCGTGCTTTGAATTGATTAGTAAGGTACTTATGAAACAATTATGGGAACGAGATGTTATCGCGATGGGAGCGAATGCGACTAGCGTTAATACGCTCACCTAGAAGAACGGGAATTCCTGTGTTTTCTGCGGTGCTTTCGATGACCGGATCTCGTATCCGAACCCCTCGACAGCTCGGACTCGCAGTCGGAGTGTCTGCTGTGCCGACGGTGGCTATGACTATGACTTCGCCTACGGTGACCGCCGCGACTATGACTATCCCCCGAGCTTTGACTCTCCACCGAGCTGCTCCGACGTTGCAGTCTACTCAAGAGCTGTGTTAAAAAAGATATTTAACTAATTTCAATACAGAGATTTTATAGTGTGCGATGGAACGCCCCTAAGAATGCTCAGCTCAATAGAATTTAAACAGTTTTTTTGCATATCATACCGCAACCGCGGTAAAAATAATTTTCGAAAAATTTTCACCAAAATAGATTCTACAATCACATAAATCTGATGATAAATTCGCACTCTACAATGAGTTGAGTATTGGAATAGGAATAAATGTAACATGTCAACTAACCGCCGGCGCCGTTCCCGCGGAGCGAACGGAGCGAGGACTAGACGAGGTGTAAAGACCGCGGGGCTGAATCTGCGTCCACGGCGCGCTTCTTATGCTCCTCGGACTCGAGTTGTTCACCTGCCTTTGCGCGTTGCATAAAACATTCCCGCTGCACGGATTGCTGCCTGGATTCGAGATCACGGTGACAGGTGTTTCCACGAACGAGCCGACCATTTCCTGACCCTCGACGACGCGTCGCTGCGCTCTCCGGCTAGGCGTTCTTTGAAACGGCGGCGGATTTCGCCTGATGGCCATGTGCTTCTCCAAAGTGGATGGAGGACTGTACGAATGAAAGCGAGAATATGGACTCAGAGGCGGCGGGCCGGTCGCCATCAGCCGGAAGAAAGCTTGATGCTCTAAACAACATTTCCACAGATGACGGCAGGCTCCTTTCGACGGTGTCTCGAAGCCGTGCGTTCTCTCTTCGGAATTTTCTCGCTCACCCTCAGCATAAAATACCTGCCCTGAAAAGTGACGTAATTTGTGTTAAAAAGAAAAATTGTGAAAAAAGAAACATTAATAATTAGAGAGAAGTGCGATGTACTATGTTCTTAAATGTTAATTTATTATTTTTAATCCAAACTAGTTTTAAAAAAGAAACCACATCTAGCGAGCCGACAATACTGTAGAAATTGTATACCTTATAGTATATTTTGTTGATTCGAGGCCAATAGTAATTTCCCACTTTGGTCTTGTTGCGCAACAGTATTATTCCGCTTGGCGTTAAGCCCAGGAAATATTCCACACTATCCTCGCCCTGTGAATAAAAATTTTGCACGATTAATAAAAGCAACGGAATAGCTAATCAATAATACGCGTTTACGTACCAACACGGGATGCAAATCTACGCCATACATTTCCAACCATTTCACTTTATCCAGATAATTTAATTCTGCCGCCGAAGGTAATTGTCCTCTAAAAAAATTATATATTTTAAAAAATCAAACATGTTCACTATTTTTCTAACACTTTACATTACTTAAAACATTCCGCGTAAATATAACCATTGTTTTTATAATATACGGAATTATCAAAATTTTATTTGTATGATTCATTTTGATGGTATTTTTTAGTGAGCGTAAAATAAATTAAACGAGACCAACAGAGAAAAGACTGCAAGAATCCAAGTGAAATAAGTAGACAAGCGAAAGAGTTATAGAAGCCATATATTTGTGATGGCCAATTGAGGCTTGTCTAGAAAGACTAGCGCTCACGAATGTCTGGATAGTTTTAACGCACGCTATCCGAATACTAAACACTTCACACGATTGACATACATGAGAGTTTTGTGTATCTCCACTATACGATTCTCCAGTTCCGTCGTTTGGTTGGCGAGGAACCGAAATTCGGTGACGTATCCAGGCGAGTGTCGTCTAGGATCATAATCGCCAAGTTCCGCTGAAAGAATAACGCGTTATCGAGATAAATATAAACATCATTATTTGAATCTTGCTCAAAAAAAGTATTTTATACATTTCTTTTACATTGAGATTAAAATTTCTTCCGGATTTAATAAACTTTTAGAAAGAGTCGTGCTTATTACGATAAGAAATATAGAAAGTAAATAAACTGTAAAATATTATATGAAAAGTACAATTTCATTATGTTATAAAGATCGCGACGATATTGCGAAGAAAAGAAGGCCTCGCTATCCGAGCTTTTATCATTCCATTCTATTTTTCGCCATCTTTCTCTTTTGCACACTATGCTCTTGTCCGCCTTTCGCTACGCGCGCGCGCGCGCGCGCGCGTATCGTTGAATAGGAAGAAAGGATATTCATTTCGTCTCTTTTGACGACGATGAGACGCAAACACGAGCGATATTTTAGTTTGCCTTCCCTTTTTCTATCTGTACGACTTTGAATCTCCCCATCAGATAACTAACGCGCGTGGACCGCGGGCGTGCATCTGTTTGCTCGCGTTTACATGCATTTCTTTACACTGCACAGGTACACACACAATGCATATATACATAAGTTTTCGTATTCGCTACGTACTGTGCAAATAGCGCTTCTCCCGCGCGATTTTAATGTTTCCCCTCCCTGTCTCTTTCTTTATAAGACGAACGACGTCTAAGTGTATAGTGTGCGCAAGAAATAATAAACAGCGCGTCCGATGCGCGCTTTTTCCGACGATATCTCACATTGCACAACGTAGGCACCCAATTCCGCAGCTAAATCGAAGGATACGGGTAATCTGCCTTGCAGGATGTCTTGCTTGATTTGCAGGAAAAACTGGTATCTGTGGAACAAATTCGAAACGATGTCACTGATTGATTTTATGGCAACGATCTTGAAACGCAAACATGATCGCGCGACGTATCGAACCGTGAAATAGATCGAGGCGGGAAATAAAATTTTTTTTTTTCCCTCTTCATACGGCCGTTCCTCCGCGTGAATTAGTAACAAGCGTGCGAGCGCACGAGTGCGGATAGCACCGCGAAACGCTTGGCGCGAGGCGTCCGCACGTATGCATGCACATAAAGCGCTTCAAGAAATTCGACGCACGTGGAATTCTCGTGCGTCCGCGACGTACCGTGATGTCCCTGGAATTTCCTGGAATTTCGAGACACCAAGCGCAAAAGAATCCTTTAGGTAGGCGTGACGTAGAATAAAAATCGCCCGTATTATCCGCATCTCGTGCGCGTTACGGCAAAATTTTCTCAATCTTCTTATCAGGAATTTCAAATGTACTGCGTTGTCAGGTGAAATTAAAAAAATTACCTTTTAAATAACACGATAATCGCGGACGAGCGATCAATTTAACTTTGAAAAAAAAGAAAAAAAGGTAAAAGTTTGAAGGCTTTCAAAACGAAGTGGTCAAACAAAAGCATATGTCTCGCTTGAACGAAAGATAAGAGGCGCGATACCTGGTAATCTCTTCGATGAGTTTGCACGGATCCGCCGCGTAGAATTTGACGCCAAAATAGAGAGTGTGAACGTCCGATCCCGGGTCTCCTTTGTGAATCTTCAATTGCTTACCGAGCTTCTTGCTTTGATCCAGCCATTGCTAAAATGCAAACGTTACAAGCTACTTGTAATAAATTGTGACTTTTCGAAACTTTCCCAAGCTTACGAAAGAAATGAGATATATTCAACATTGAGGACGACATTTTACAATTGCGCAAAGCTCAATGCTCGACGTTTAAATTACGTTATTAGAAGCGAGAGCAATTTGTCGCTAAGTTGTGCACAGCATTAGATAGATTATATCCTACCGTCTGATTTCCGTGATCGAGATAGCGCAATCCGAAGTAAGAGGTTTCCAATAAATTAAGATGCTTGAATACTCTATCCAACAATTCTTGGCCCAAGTTCGAGCTCTGGAAAACGTAAACGTTGAAATTCAGCATGCATGTATGGCGTATATGTGAACCAATTCCGCGATTTTGCGCGAGAACTGTACGCTACGCGTGGCAAAAACCTTAGCCGAGATTGAAATCAAGAATGGTTTCCCACTGGTGTTACGAACCGTGACGTCCCTCGTTTGTTACCCCGAGGGAAACTAACGGGAACCACCTCCGGATAAAAGATGTTTTCCATCATTAGATTTTGTTGCGCGTGTTATTATCCTCCCCGCTTTGTTCATGATTCACGCGATTTAATGATACGGCGATGCGGAAGACGTGGACGACTCATTAATACAGTTCGCGAAGTAAACGAAGCTCGGCTCGCTCCGTCTCCGCTTCCTCCTTTTTCACATCTCGCGGGATTTCGCGACACGATGAGAAATCACGCGAAAGCGGATCGATCGATAAAAGAGGGAATGAACGAAAGGAAACGTGAAATACGCGCACGTAGTGTAATGAAAGTGGCAGACGTTTAAGAGCGCGGCAAGAAAGAAGAAGCGGAGACAGAAGAAGCGGAAGGAGGAGGAGAACAAGACGAGAGACCTCGCCCTTTTTCTTTCGCCTAAGGCCTAGAAGAGTCGAGTATAGGTTCAGGAGATGGGTAATCATCTTCAACTTGCGTGTTCCGAACGTTCCTCTTTTTTTCCCTCCCCCTCCTCTCTCGCCTCCATCTCCCTTCCTCCTCTTCTTTCTTTCGTTCTCTCCGTCGGTTATTCCGGTGGTTTCTTTCATTTTTCATGCGCGGTGTAATTTGAACATTTATTTAGGCATTCTAATCCTGCCCCGCGAGCCCGCGGCTCATTGTGGGAATCGAAATCGCCGTAGCATAAATTGTCTGGTCTGCATGAGGCCCGGCTTTTACGATTCCGCGACGGTGGGGGGGGGGGGAGGAAAGAAAGAAGGAATCGCTCGCCAAACGAGCTCGACAATCCGGCGTCTCATTGTCCGAAATGCAGCGATCGCATGTTAATTGTAACGAAAAGACCGGGACGTGGAGTCATTGTGGAACCGAGAGCCTGGCGTCTGGCTCTCCCTGGCGAACGATATGACACGAGAATGAAAACCGGCCAGCCTCGCGGCGGCAGCTAGCCAACATCGCCGTTTTCTGGCGAAGATTCACCCCGGGCCTGCGGGTATCGTGACTAAGTGCGGTAACGCCGATGAAAAGTGTACCGATGCGAAGGTAGAAGAAAAATGCTGCGCCGCCTGCAGCGCACGCCTAAGTGCCACTTCGGCAATTGGACGAGAGGACGCGAGACGTGAAGCGCGCTATGGAATTTCGCGGAATTGCAAACCGGAGGGAGTGGCTTGACTCTCGGTTTCAACTTCCTGCCGCTTCGAAATTGCCGCGAGAATTCACATGTCTGTCTCGCGGATTCGTCTTGCTGAAAGTTCAGAGCGCGAACAAGGTCGCGCGTCGCGCGAAGATTCGCGAAAGGGGAATTGTCGCGTGTGTGAAAAAGATGCGCGGCGCATCCTCCAGCTGTTTCCCTCAACGAAAGGTCCGATCGCTCCGTCGCGCGGAAAATATTCTCCGCGCGCGCGGGTCGCGGCGATGCTTTATGCTAATTTTATTGAAATCGCGCCACGCCGATCGGACGTTGCGTTCGATTCCGCTGCGAGCGGAAAAGAGTTACGTTTATCCGGTTGTATTATCTTGACGCACGGTCATTCTTTCGCGCTGTTACGCTGCAGTTACGGGAGACTGGTTCTACGACTGGCGGTATAAAACCGGGAAGATACGGACCTGGATATCGAAATACCGATAGCGAAACGCCGCCCATAAGTATCGTACATTACTTATCAACGGTCATTCTCGTTTTTGCATTCTCGATCATATCTCCAATATTCCGCAACGATTTTTCCCTTCTCTCTCACGCGTCGTTTCGTTCCACTCAAATATTGATGCTTCTCATTCGCCTCGAACGTACGCGATTTGATATCCGAGAACTAGGAGCGATGATGATTCAGAATCGTCTCTGCGAATCCTCCTTTCAATATCCCTGCGAAAGTTACCGCCATTTCGGCAATTGAATGTATTTGCTAAAGGATGCAGCGTTATGTTATCATCTTCGCATATTGTAGACTATTTCAGTAAGAAGAAAAAAGTGTGCGTGAGAGAGAGAAAGAGAGAAGGAAAGTGAGAACGGTCTGGCTAACGCGAGTCGGTAAGAATCGTTTCTGGATATCCCTTTTCGCGATCCTCCATAATCGATGCGGATCAACTGCGGCGGTTGGAATTCCCTCCTTAGGGAATAATCTTCTCGTTTTTAACGCTCGGCTGAATTTCGATTCACGTGGGGGCTTACGGGCGTAACACGTATAGACAACACAGTGAAGGATTCGTGCGGGATGCTTATACAGGCTCGGAATGTTAATCGACAAAATGAGCTAGACGACGGAGGGAAGAGGATGGAGGAAGCGGGTGCGACGCGAGAGCGATTCTCCCGTGCGAGCGGGAGGGAAGAGGAGAGAGAGAGAGAGAGAGAGAGAGAGAAAAAAAGAGAGAAGAAATAAAGGAGAACGGGCAGGTCGGAGAGAACGCGAGAATTAGTGTGCGGCTTCTCCGGCCGATCGACGGAGTGCGGAGGAGGTACGGCGTTACCCACGTCGTGGCCCACGGTGGCCCACCGCCAATTTTGGCATATCGTCTAATAACAGAGAAGACCGCAGGAATTCCGGGTACCCCTCGTGATATGTACCGCGCCTTCTCGTGCGGAGCCGCCACACAGTCGGCCATAACCCACCGTGGCCGGCGGGCACGAGTGGTCCCGACGGTCCGAAACGACCATCTAGAAAACGAGCTGGGAAAGAAAACGCTATTAATCCACTAAATTATAACTTGACGTCGTGCGGAGTCTTGGTGCGCGCACGAATTACGGCGCGGCGCGGCGCGGCGCTCCGTCCGAGCAATTCGAATCTGTATACACACGACGTATTCGCGCGAGAGAGGTATCTCTGGCGACGCGTGGAGTCTCTCGAAGTTGAAGAGCTCGGGATAACGCGGAAGAGGGATTTTTCGCTGACGTGTATATCATGAATTCGGGGAGAGTCGCGGGAGTCGCGAAAGAGAGGCGGAGACTCACCAAAACATCCTGCAGTAATTCGTGCTCGTCAAGAAGTATCACTTTGCAGTGCAAGAGACGAGGCCTGTTGCTCCTGGTCGGCCTAAGTCCAGGGCACAGCCACTCCACCACCATCGCTTTTCCTCCTTCCTCGATTTCTTTGTATATTGCTCTGGCACCGTGCGCGTCTACTCGCTCGACGCGTTTGTGTTGGCGCTCATTCTGAAATCACGCGAGCGCATTGTTAGTCAAATCATCCTGGTCTCTCTCTCTCTCTCTCTCTCTTTCCTTATTTCTTATTGTACCGCTCTATATAATATGGCTATTACGGTGAAACTGTATTTCAGAACAGCAGTTTGCAGCGAGATTTAATGGCTGAGAAAGTAAACAGGAATAAGGAAAGTGTTTTCAAAATGAGCCTCCTGGAAGAGGCTCGGTGTCGCGAATCGACGGCTAAAATCCCGAAACGATTGTTCGGTGACAATCGAAGAATATCAAACTGTCATAAATAGCGGTAATCGGCTCGACGCTATTCCGCCTTTACCGTTACCTTATAGTTCCCGCTCGAATCGAACGATCTGTAATAGACATAAGCCAGCCAGCCGGCGCTAGCCAGCCAGCCAGCCAGCGGTAATCGGATAATATACCGGATACCGGGATCGTTTTGCGCATCGGTCTAAACGCGTCGCGTTCCTTATCGAAGCGGACTTCAGAGAAGTATAAACGTTCGGTTGAGATAAAAAAAAACCTCGATAAGCAACATTCTCGTCGGGGGGAGGCCACTTTTATCGGAGGAAATCTTTTGAATCATACATAATCATATTCGCGGCGTATTCGAGATGTTGCATCGCCGACAGACAGCGGGAATTCAAGTACACCTTTTGTCCCTCGCGTACGCGCTGCTTGAAAAATGCCCGTACAATGTGGCCCAAGTGGCGAGTGCCATTGAACTCGGGACGAGCGGGAGCGCACAGTCCGTGGAACAGGTTTCGAATACAGAATCTCTCAATTGCATTTGATATTGAGGAGATAATAGAAACTGATGCGCGCGCGAGGCCCTCCGCGATCGACGACTAATGGAGAACGTGTCGTTACATCTTTCTGAAAAAAAAAAAATATTGATGATGACGAAAGCCAATATATTCGGCGATCCTCCGATACGATCGACGTCGCTTCGCGTTCACTCGCCGCGGCTGTGTGTCATGTATAATCGATTTCGTCGCGTATTATACTTTTGATGCATCGACGGGACGCGGTAAAAAATTCTTGTAAATATTAATGTGCCTTCGAATCCCTTTCTTTCTCGTCCTTCTTCGTTTTCTCGTCATAGCTGTCTCTTCTTTTTAAACGCTAAGTGCGTCGATTGCAAACTAACGATCGGTGTATTTGCATGGAAATTCGCGCGACACTGCGGTACCATTACTTATCGTAGATATTCACGCGTGAAGTTTAGTCAAAGTAAAAGTTTAGTTGAGTGGTTTTTCTACTTCTACTCATCTTTTCGCAGACGACATTCCAAACGGCTTCGTCTAATTACTGCATAATTTATATTAAATATTCAAATGCGCGCAACGAGATCCTGCTGGCAATTTTTTCATTTACATTTCTGCTCTCATTTACAATTGAAAAAAGAATGACGCAAGATTAAGAAAGGTGCCAGTTATAGTTTTCTGAAAAAAAAAACCAAGTTAAATATTTTTGTCGAATCAATAATTTATGCGCAACTTCGCCAATAAAATATAAGATTACGCATATATTAAATATAAATTGTATAATCGCAATGCTCGTATTTATATCTTGACTTCGTGTCTCGTTACCATTCTGATATCACTTAGATCAAGCTCGATCTCTAAACGGGATACGAATTTCACAAACTACTTTCTTATAAATAATTATCTCTGATATATATAGTTCTGTCATATAGAAATTTTCAAATAACTCAATTTTAATTCATCTTGATTATATGCGCGCGTGTGGCAATAAAAATACCACTGATTAGTCCTGTAAAAGAAGAAAGGCAAACATTTTCAGCATACCCACACCGTACGCACCTCCGTTATGATTTACGTTCCGAATTCTCGTGACCTTGGCGGAATCGCTCAGCGCTTCCGGCACATTCGGCACTTGACACTTTCGACACTTGTGACACTTCCTGTAACAAATTCGGAATTCGGACAATATATCGTTCCGCGTTGCGTACTTTGTCGAAATATCTTTAGTGCGCGACGCGTGTTTGTTCTCGCGATACAAACCGGCGAGTCTTCAAGCACTTAAGTTTCACTCGATACGCATACACACGAGATACTCGGTATGAAGTCGCCGTCGCGTGTGTACAGTAACATGTCACGGATATTTTATCGGCGATCGCGTATCTCAGAGCGTTTCTCGGCACGAAGAAGATATTCGCCTGGACGTAGCCGCGGCGCGCACTTGCGCGAACGTGACGATCGCGATGGAGACAGATTTGAGATTGACAATTCCGCGGGTTTCAACGGAGCGCATCGCGTCAGGACGGACGCGAGTTTTCAAGTTATGTGGCGCGACGGACGCACACAACGAGGTGAGGCGAGGCGAGACGGAGTGAGTCGAGTCGAGAGAAGTGGCGAGGTGATGTAGCCAGCGATTTACGAAGAGAGGGAGGTAAAAGAGTGAAAAGAAGAAACAAAGAAGAACGGGACGAGGCAACGAACCTTGATGTGCTGCCATCTTAATTTTGCCAAATGTGCAACAAGATGAAATTTAAATTATTGATTACCGATAATAACTTATCGACTATCGGTATTGTAGAAATACTCTTTAACATTTTTTATTTAATTATTATAATCAACGATAATCGAGAATAATCGAAAGTTTATTAGACATCTGATTGCCGAATATGGTTTATACGCATTTGCGTTGCACAGTTATGCGGTTAACCTTTGAATAAATCTTTAGCGCAAAAGTGAACAAGAACGCACTCTGTATTTTCTTCCCGACAACTTTAACCCGATCTTCGCTAATCTAGTAATTTCTTGCGCGAAATTTATCAACCATGCAGTTGTAACATTTGTGTATATTTGTGGAGGTTACTACGTGGTACGTGCTGGCATGTTTTGTAATTTGTTTAGTCACAACGATTCCAAATAATTATCATCGCAATGTGTCATATGCACGACGATCATCATCAGTGATAAATGCTTGTGTACTTATTGATACTGGCCAGTTGATCACAAACGCGTAAAATGTCATGGTTTGGTGATAGCTTATCTAGCCTCTCTAATTTAAAGGGACAAATTACGAATTTGACGAGAGACGTTCTATCTGAAGGCATCGTTGAAGAAATAGGTACGTGTAAACATATCGAGATCAAAGCACGATTTGAGGTCTCGGCGTTTTCGTCAGTGCACAATTCAATGTGGAAATAGGTTATATCTGTCAAATGACAGTTCTATTTTACCATTCGAGGGACGAATATCGAAAAGGCGGTTCGCTTGAAACTACCTTGAATTCTTGTCAAACTTATACGCTCAAAATAATTGACTGCAAATTGACGTAATTAACTGCAAAATAGTTGCATTGTAAATTGACGTAAAAAAGGCTAATTTTTTAAATTGCCTGTCGAAGGACGATAATAAGATATTTTCAAACGCAGTTCACACACGCACACAAATTACGGTCAAAAATTTGTTCATCTATTTTACAAGTACGAGTTAATAAAACAATCAAATTTCGCACATAATTAATAAAATTAATAAAATTTTATAATTATGTAATAGTGATTGTTTTCTAATTATTTCTAGATGAACGATCGAAGGCGTTAAAGGAAGCGAACGAAAGATGCAGTCAACTGCAGGATTTGCTCACCACAAAAGATGCAGAAGTAAGTATTTATACATTATAAATTTGTAATTGTTAAACTAAATGTGTGTGCCTAGAGCTCCTTCCATTTTGTTTATAATATTGATCGTATAATACCGCAAAAAAAAATTTGAAGACGGAAGATTGATAGATTCTGAAGCTAATAACTTTCATTAATATATTTTCCATGTTGAAAGTCACTCGGTATACGCACAGATGTCTACCCGTCTGATAAGCGCGAGGGATCACATTGTGATTAGAAATTATTTTAACAGATGTTGTGTTCCCTAATAATCGCGAACGAGTGTAAGGCAAACACATTTCACTTTATCCGCTAATATATTACGATCTCTTTTACATCGTTAAAGATGACAAATATCGCGAAAGTATCGATATTCTGTGGAAGAACAATGAAAGAATGTTTTGGCTTTGCATTTGCGAAAAGAATTTCGGTTGTGAAAAAGTGATGATGAGTAACGCTCTTTATATATCTGACGATGAAACACTTTCTACCGCGTTCAGTCGAGGAGGGGGGGAGGGGGAGGGGGGGAGGGGAGTGAGAGATACCTAGGGATCGTATAAGATAACGCATTGAGGATCGGAAAGTTGGGCCTCTTATCATAATACAAACGCGAGATAAGAGTGGCAAATGTAAACGCGCATCGCACGTCCTGTATCCACGACGTGCGACCGGACTTCCTTCTGATTGTGTTTCCTAAAATTTAAGTCGGAGAACACCTTAAAGAGCCCAGTCAGTCCTTGACAGCATTTCTCTGCCGAAAATCGTTCCAATCTTCTTTTTTTTTTTAATTATAAGTCAAAATCTTTGCTCTTTCGAACAATAAAATTAAGCGTTGAAAATTTTTGCCGCCGTGCAATTTTTAAAGTGATTATAATGCGCTGCTATTCCAAATTTATGAATTTTTATTTCTGTCCATGTTCATCCTTGCTCTTCGATATATAGAGCGCCTCAGACCTTAGGAAGCTTGAATTTTATCTCCTACATCCTGAAAAAAATAATGTTAATTTTAATACAGTACAGTTTAAGAATATATAAAAATTGTAAGAAGTATATTTTTCCTCTACTTTTTACTAGACTAATTTTCTACCTTTTGTTTAGTTAACTAATAAAAAGCAATTAAGATCACGTTTAAATAAGGATTAATGCTAGAATTATTGTCGCTTACAGCGCGATACGTGTTGCACACATGAAGTAAAGGGAAAAAGTAAATTAGTATTTCGAAAAAAAATTGCAGTATCCAATAATCTCGGTACAACCTTATAGCGCTTTAATTTTGTAATAGCTTATTGAGTATTGTTTTTTACATATAGATCTCTCTCCTGCGCCGACAGAATTGTGAGTTGCAGAAAACTGTCATTGAGATAAACGCAAAGTCCAAGGAATCGGTAAGTTAATAATCCCACTTGACATAACTCATAATAATTGTTGCGAGAACTAGCAATGAAATGAAAAGCGCCTCGCTCTTAAAATATTTGAGCATGACTTGCCGCGCTAGAGAGTAAAAATATCTCTAAATATTTACAATCGGTATAATTATTTCCGATCGTTAATTGTGTCTTATTCGAGAATATAAAAGAGTAGGAATAATCCACAAACGTGTTTTGCTTGTACTCTTTTTTTTTTCCTAGCTAGACGCAATGCAACGCGTAAGCACAGTTTTTCGCGATCGTTCGACGTATTGGTTATCACCTTTTCAAATGTAAGAACCACTCCACGATTACGTGACCTATAAACCGCTTACGTTAGCGTCGTCGTGCGCTCACCTCCTCTTCGGTTCTCCTCCCCCCCCCCCTTTGTTAACAGTCGAAACTCTCAAGTCCCACATCGCTACGATAATTCATTGTTGCATCATTACAATAACAACGAGAGCGATCCGAAGTCTTTTAGTCACTTGCTGTTGTCACGATTGTTAAAGTCGAAAACGATAACGCTATGTGTGTGTGTGTGTGTGTGTGTGTGTGCGTGCGTGCGTGCGTGCGAGTGCGCTCGCGATAACAAAAAAGCTAACCGTTTGGCATTGCCTAGTAGATACAGATAGTACTTGTTAATAGCAAAAAAGTTATTTTTTTTATCAACGCGTAGATAAGAGGTGCTTTTGTGTTTCGCGAGATATAATATCATCTTATCGACAGGATATTGGTTTCTATTATATATTTTCGAAAAAATGTCTAAATATATCATTTAGTTGGATAATCGCGTGTGAAAATTTCGACGGAGCCGGGAGTGAATTTTGACTTTGACGACAATAAAAAAGAAAAAAATAAAACACGATGTGTGACAAAGTTTATAATTATAAATCAAAGAGTGTTTATGTTGAGCTGCGAGATATGTGCCGCGGCTTTGACCTGAAATATCCTAGATTTGTTTTATACTTCATTTCTTATGTGGATCGTACGTGGAGTGTTAGTTGAAAAAGATAAGAGAGAAGGTAACACCGCGCGCGTTCTTGCCCGTTCTTTATTACGTATCTTGGATCAACAAAGGATCGGTCTCACCTCTCGTGGAATGTGTCACGAATTTCTCTCTGAGAAGAGGACCCCGTACAACTTTTTCAACTCCAGATAAATCTTTGTCCAAATGTTCCTTCCTTTTCCTTTAAGTTCACGTTGGAATAATATTATGTCGAATAACGGTTTTTTAATCGTCACAACGGCGAATGCGAGTGAATTATAAATGATCTGAAATTTGTCAATTGTAATTTTTGGGAGTATGTCGGCACTTTTAGAAAAATAGATAGCTGTAAATAGGTAGCGGTGTTGGCAGGAAATTTGACGAAATTTGCTATCAATCTGTCAACATTTGCTAACACCGGAAAATTGAAGTTCGCCAAAAGTTGAATTTTTTTGACAACGCGCGATGGAAACGAAAGCGTGTCAATTTTCTAATTCCCTTGAATTGTAAAGGCAAAATATGGAAGGCACAGAAAGCAGAAGGATGCGATGATTCATGCGCTGTTACGTATACCGCATGAGTGCAGCGCGGTTTAATAGTCCTTGAAGTCCATCGAAACTAACACATCTGTACATTGTAGATTGCGTATCGTTTAAGCGATGGAAATTCTATATTTTTCGTCTTTCTTTTTTCTGCTGCTGTAGAATTTCATCGACGGTGCAATTTCACGACACAAGCGCAAAACAATCGCGCGTGACTCTGAAAAATAATATGTGCATGTTTATTTCAAAAATAAAATACTATCGCTGCTACATTAAACTTGTCTTGAAGTTTGCGCTAATCTTAAATATTTAAAATATTTAATAAGATTTATTAATTAGATTTCGCAGCAATATTAACGCAAAATCCATTAATTATCTAATTATATCAAATAATGCATTAGACTCAATGGGCGGTATTCATAGTCCGTTCTTATTTCAAGATTATCTTAAGTACTGTCTTAAGATATTATGGTTTTCTGATTGGTTCATAGCATCTTAAGATCATAATTAAGACAATCTTAAATATAAGAACGGACTATGAGTACGCCAAATGAAAGAAACTTTCATATCAGGCCGCGTATGCGAATTCTAGGATACAATAAGTTGGCGTCAGCGATCAATTTCGATTGGTGGTCACGTAGCACCCCAGTTTCATTTTCGCCGATAATACTTTCAAGTATGATAAGCGACCGGCGGCTGGGGTTGCTCAGTTTTCAGCACGATAGTGACTATGGCTACTCTCTCAATCGGGTGGCTATAAATACAGGTCGAACGGGCTTATATACGGAAATTAACCAGGTACCATTTGTGCGATAAAGCTCGGCATATAAAAACTTTCGACGGAATCGTTAAGGTTGGTGACAACATTTTCTTCGTTGTTATTATTCGCTTATGATTATTCTCCGCTGTCGTTCAACATTGCTCGCTCGTCTCAATCGATTTTGATTTCGCTCGAAAATTATTTCAAGATACACTTCCTTCAAAATGTGTTGCTCGATTTTCTTCTTACACCAGCAATCAAATCAATCAATTTCATTGGTTAAAAGTTCCACAGTTTCGTAAACGTTACGACACTGTAAAGCGTATTTTTAAGAGCGTTAGGCAGATTTAATTATAAAAGGCTTGTGTGTTCGCAAACGAAAACGGAAGAATAACACGTCATTAGAATACCATTAACATAACACTATCCACGAAGACACAGTTATATGTTACAATTTGTAATCTTTCATCGCCTCTTTTCGGTCGTGCGCTCCAGACTTTGGTCCGCTTCTTCTTCTTGTCCTTCTTTCCTCGAAATCGGCCTGTTCTAATTCTGTAAACAAGGACATTATTGACAAGTGAAATATCAGACGTGATCGTAAAGATAAATATTTGTAATATTTTCCCGTCATAATGCGTTCCGTCGTGTCTCGTCGAGCCTGGTCCGTCCTTTCCTAAATTTGTATTCTTATTATTTTCGCCCCAAATATCGAAAAAAAAAAAAATAGCCTCTGAGGTCTTCGAGGCCGTCGATTCTGCTATAGCGATTACCATAGCGCTCTCGGTAATGTTCTCTCATTTCCTTCAGCTGTGCCCGCAGCGAGTACTATCATACGGGCGCTGATAAAAATGTCTTGTCGATGCCTGCGTTAATAACAGCGACACGTAGCACGTCCGTACGACGGTCGTATTCTAACGGAAAAGGTAGCAAGTCTATTTAGTTACATTGTGCACGTCTGCAACGCGTTTTGCGTCTCGATGAAAAAAATACTGTCACACACTTTCGATATCAAAATCATCTGCGGAGAAGATGGTGTTTTTTTTTTTTTTTTTTAATGATATTTGGAGCAAAAAACGCAGAATCCACTCGCGATTTTGGCGCGTTACGAGATTCGCAACAGGAAAAAAGTTGCAATCAAGTTTACATTACTATATCTAATCTCAATGATTGTAGTTTAGTAGTGGACAAATTCTGCGATACGGACAGCTAATACGTACTGAAATAAATGCTACAGCAACATTTGAGATGTAATAATTATTATTAAAGATATAACTTCTTATAAATATTATTCTAAATATTTCCTCGTCTTTCCTTTATATCACATCATAGGCAGTTCATTACATTAATTATTATGTAATTAAATATTACGCAAGCATTCTCTCCGCATGCAAACTTTATCCACTAAAGTTCGTTTTTCAGTATTATTTCTAGGGAGAAAGGGAGTACATCTCTGCATTTTTATGAATATTAAATAACAATTATTTCGTCAACATTCACCCGTCTTATTTCCGAGTGGCACGCAAATCCGAAGCGTTTTTCAAAATGTTTTCCGTCGCGACGTTCGCGGGGGACCCGTCGTTTGAGTGCACCGGCATGAAATCGCACATATGCACACTATGCATCCACGCCGCTGATAGTCAGTCAGTCAGTCTTACGTGTGCGCCGTCCCGCGTCCCGCAGCTCTACCTCCTGCCGTTTTCCTCCTCCTCCTCCGCCACCTTCCTCCGGCTTCGTAGGGTCGCTGCTAAGCTGGTGGAAGGTGTAGCCGTCGAAACGTACAGTCGTCCGTCGGCGAACACGCATCGCGCACCTCGCAACGTGCGACGGCCTGGGCGTGCACACCCGCCCGTGGACAACCGCCGTTTCACCTCTGGGACGGTCGCCTGAGTCGCCGCGAGAGAGCCGGATCGGATCGCTCGAAACGTCGTACGTCGCTGTTTCGTGAGTTTCTTGGGACACGGATCGAAAGACTATAAGACGCGAGAGATCGACACGTTTCTCAATTCACACGTAAGTTGGCGATTTTGCGGCAGTTTCTGTTGTATACACGAGACGCGTTAATTCTCGTCGACGAATTGCGGATCGAAATGACCATTTTATTGACCTTTCGATTGAAATATGACGCGATAAATCGCGTCGATACATAAATCCGTCTTCACATTAATCTATGACAATTGCAAAATCACATTTGATATTCGTGAAAAAATGCTCGATCTACTTAATCATTTTTAATATTCAAGGAAGAATGCTAGAAGACAAATTCCTTTTTTACTTATTCTTATCTATTTTTTTATTCCTTTTTTTTTCTATCGCAAAAAAAGAAAGTTCGAATAATGAATTTTGATGTACTTTGTGATGTGATTCAGAGTTACGATGTAAAAAAAAAATAGTAAGACCTTTGCGCCATTCTTTCGCGCGCAAAGCGATGACCAGGCAATTTATTGCGCGCACACATGCATTTTCGCAGTTATGTCGTAACTTTTGCATTGAGTTTCAGCATTTCAGTACGCTTTTTGGCAAGCTTACAATTAATTTCTCTTGCGCAAAAATTAAAATAAAGATAAATAATATCGAACTATTGAAAGAATTTTTATTTTTAATTTAATAAGCGATATCGCGAACTTTCTTTTCCAACGTTTCGACACTCAACATTTATTAATAATAAGATAGCATTTTAATATTCTTATAGAATTAGTTTTTATAGATTCTATAGACTCTTGTAGAGATATCTTTGGAATGCTATCGTCTTCCGATAAGTGTAAAAAACATTTGTGTTTCGTAACTACAACGTAGATATTCAATAACGAAATATGAAATTAACTTTAAGATTTGTTTGTGTAATTCAATGTACTATTTCAGAGAAACTACTCTATTTTTATTATGAATGAAAATAGTGTCGAAAAATGAAAAGGAAAGGAATTTGGAAAAAATTTTAATATGCAAACGTTCTACAAAATGCAGCAAATTGATTTTGGAGCGTTAAAATTTGAGGAGCGAGTGCGATTAGTGTATTCACTTCCATTTGGCTTCAGGTATTAACTACGTCGAATTTGCGCCTATTTCGCTTTAAGCTATGCTCGCGAGTTATCGGTAGATAATGTACGAAGGACAAGCTTACCTATGATTACTTAACCAACGTGAGGCGCACGATTACCTGTGCTGGCGCATGGCGACGGCAACGACAACGTTCGGACAAATATATCGCGCTAGTTGCAAAAATCAGTATGTTACTCATAAATGATAAAAGTCGATACGTACTTATCATATATGTCGAAATAAAACACTCGGGGACACGCGCATATATCACACACGCATGTGTGTTCGATTTTTCGCTGCGAATTTCTCGAAATAGAAAATATATGAAAAGGTATTGAAATGTATTCCGCAGCGACTCGTTAACTCGCTTGATGAGAATCCGCGACACATTTCAAGTAAAAAAATAAACAAATTCAAACTCTAATTCGTGCGTATAGTATGTACATGTGAGCAATTAATATTCCTGACTTTTAATGTCGAATAATGAACGCTGGATTTAAATATCTGGCGGATTTTATAATATTCATAATATGCGTGCGATATATAAAATATAAATTTCCGATATCGCTGTGCAGGACTTGAAAGCTGGCATTAGGAAATTAGGTCCATTGATGTGAAATGAAACGTGCGAGGCGCGTAGAAAGTTTAAAGGATTCTGTAAACAAGTAAAAAGTCGCATTACGCAGGCTATTCATTTCGTTTTCATTATGCGGCGTTTGTAGCTGCATCGTGTCCGTGCATTCGTCGGAAACTTTCGACGGCTCTCGTCGCCTGCATGAATAAACATAAACGTAAAACCCGAGGATTATCTAATATGGACACGTCTAATGCGGATTAAACGCGCTGAAATGATTATCGTCGTACAAACATCTCGACTAGATGATTCCCGCTGATGTCGGCAAGATTAGCTCCTCTCAAGATTTCCGAAGGCCTCGCCGTGTTATTTCCGCCGTACATCCTAAAAAATTAATATTAACAGCGATGTTGACACAACATGCGCCATCCATATTCATTCGGTTAATTCATTCGTTCGTCTTCGCGCAGGGAATTGTTCTTTTACGTGCGCGCCACGTTGGCCAGCAATCAAGAGCGTGGAGACCGCGCGTTCCCGCCGCCAGCGAGAATCCTCGAGAGAAGCAATAAGCCGTCGCGTATTTTCGCTGTACCCGTTGCATGGCGACGAGCTGACTCTCCGTCTCCGATGACCGGCTTCTTACCGCGGAGGAACGCGCTGAGCGCAAACTTCTGAGTATCCAACACCATGAGAGACAGTGTGTTATTTGCGACGCGCGCTGATAATGTCCTCTCCTTCGTGAACAATCCTGTCCGGCGAGCGCGCGCGCGCGTTATAATTATTAAAATCGCGACCGCGATTCACTGGTCGGTTAATTATTAAAAATCGACGGCCTTTGCGAACGCGCGCCACGAGCGTGCAAATATCGAAGGTAGTAAACGTCGATCGATACCGTTCATGCGTTTAGCAATTATATTGCGAGCGCGTATAAATTATCGCGCATATGAAATCGCGCGATGAAACATCCGCGATCGTAGCGACACTTGACACAGGATATTCGACAATGCAAAGGGTCATGCGAGTCAAAGCCGGAAGTAGTAACCTGCGGTTCTCATTCGCCGAGCGAAACTGCTTTCTCGTGGCGTTCGAGCTGCTATTTTAACAGAAAACCTCGCGTTCCCCGCCCCGATTATTTCAACGTACATTGTTGAAGTTGCGAATTTATTTGTCGGACGCTAAGCGATTAAGTTTCTCACTTTTTTTTCCCGCAGCTCTAAATCTACGTTCTCTCTCTCGATTCGCGGAGCGAAATAGGAAAAAAAGTAGGCGCCTGACGCAATGCAGTTGCTGTTATTTATCGGGATTATTTGTTGAACCCTGAACCACGGACGACTCGTGGCGCACTCGGCATCGCGTGTGCGGCTTATATGTGCGCGTCGCGGCCACTTGGTTACGTCACATCGTGGACATTATTATGTTCCTCTACTGACGCAGGTACAATATGCCCGCCACGCTATTAGAGCAGTCTGCGTTAACCTGAAACTCCGCGTAAGCGGAGTGTGTTTCATAACGCGTCGCGAGACATGGAAATACTGTAAGCGATATTCCTTTTATTATCAGCAAAAATGCGTGCGGTGCGCCAAGTGGCGCGGCACGCTCGCTGGAAGGTAAATTCGAATAAGACGCGAATAACACGCCACGCTCCGCGCACGGAATATCTATTCTGTGTATTCTTGTTGTTCGTAGGAAAAAAAAAAAAAAACCAATCTTCAATCTCCATTAAAAGAGCGTGGATCGTCAAATTTCAATCGCTGCTCGATCGTTCTCGCGCGTGTCCTTTTTCGAAAATGGTCGCCTCTCCGCTCAAAGTGTAAAATTTCGAATCGCCGGAAGAGACATTCGAAAAATCATTCTCGCGACTTGGCGCAAGACTCGAAAATAGATAATGGAACAAACGCAGGCGCCGTTCCGCTTGGAAGAAAGCATATGTTCGCACGTTATATGGCACCATAATAGCAATTTCATTACTGTCCGTATAGACATATAGAGCAACATCTGCGCGCATCGAATCGGCATTAGTGCGAGCGATGAAGGTTCGTTTCTCTCCGTGTAAGGCGACGCGTTTCAGTTCATTTCATTGTTTCTTCCCCGCGCTTCTTATTTTTTTCTTCCGAAAATAGCAACGATAGCGCGATAACGCGAAACGGCACCCTCGTTGATTCCTCATCGCGAGATTACGATAACTCGCGTTTGCATTGCAATTGATAGCAACTTCCTTTCCCACGCTTAGTATCAGGATTGCGTTATCTGCGTGATGCGCGCGACGCATCAAGCACGCACAAGGCGGCACTGCTGTATTTACCGTATAAATATTGGGTACGCGTAACGTTAAATGAGGGATTTGAAGAGTTTAAGACTCGAAAATTGACGGCCGCTGTTACGCGGACGCGTGCGAAACGGCTGGAAGCACTGCTTCGCGAAGTCGCTGTCCGCGGATTGAGAACACTCTTATTTCGATCTCTGATCTCTTCTTTCTGAAACGATGGATTCTATCCGTCGATTTATTCCGCTCTGCTCTTCACTCGCAAACACGTTTCTACATCGGTTTCACATAATAATCCCGAGCGTTGCGCATATCAATTATAATTACTGATTATTAGTTGGGCGCTCCGGTTTTACGTGCATATGCATCATCGCGCGCTGCAACTCGATGAAAAACTGACATAATACATATATTTCTGCCGAGGATTTATAAAACGTTGTCGCAAGCGTTTGTATTATCGGACATCTCTCGCGCTCGTCACTCCTTAACATATCGGTGTGTGTAAAACGGAGAAAAAAGAAGCGGCCGTAACGGGAGGAAAGGTGGAGGCTCTTGTCGTGAGCGTATGCAAGTCAAACGACGCATTATTCCTTGACCTGACCCAACGAAACCTCCTTTCATATTCATTAGGATCGTCCCACTTCGGCTCGCTTCTTTGGACCAACGAAATGCAACGGCACGATGCATCGCGCTAACCGATTTGTGCGGGGAGGGGAAAAAAAATCACTTATAAACGCGACGGAAGTTGGAACGGAGATTTTCCACGCGATTCCAGCGCGGCGATCGGCGCGCAATTTCGACCGTGTGCGCGGCTTTTCTCAAGCGCGTTCAGGTGGCGAGGACACCGAGAGGACACGCCGCCACCGGCGGTCGATTGCAAAAGAAACATGCATGATATAACGTCATTATTTGATTTGCTAATACGCTAATGCTAATCTGTTAATGTCGCTAATGCGCGCGGCGGATCGAGGAATCGGAAGATCGCGAGGAGCGTCGTTTCCTGCGCCACTGCGTCTCGATTCCTCCCACCCTCTATCTTCATTCAAACTTTTCCCGTTGAATAAATTTCGTCCTCCGTTTTCCTCATTCTTTTTCTCTTTCTCCCCCCCCCTCCTCTTCCCCGCCGAACCCCGGGCCGGGATGAGGCACGTCAGATAAGAGCCGATGCTTTATCGCGCGTACAAGATCGTCCCGAGGCACAATAGCATTCTCCGAGTCGGCAGGGTCGTATGCATAACACCTATGTGTTCATTAGCATTTCGACAACGTGCGTCTCTTTTTCGTTCACCTCGAAAAGATTCCCCGTATCGGTTACGCATCTGCGGCGGAATGGGAAACGCCGATCTAAAAAGCCGTTCCGTCGCCCATTTTAAAGACAAACGAGAGACTTGCGGCCGCGGGAATCCAATTGTCCCTCCCCCGACTTCCTCCTATTTATTGAAGCCATCTGGCTGCGTACCCCAGGCGCTCCGCAGCGGAGGACTAGGCACAAACTAGCTACGAATTGACTTTCAAAATTTATCTGAATCGGAGAGCGGCGCGCACCCACCTTGGACCGCGTTCAAGATTCATAGTCGTGAAAAAGCCTGGCCGGTAAATCTATATCGCCGCGATGTATATTTTCTCTTTTTTTTTTTGTTGCAGAAAGAACACAGCGATGACAGCGACGGGGTGTTTTGGGATCCGTCCTGCGTCGACAATCGAAACGCGAGGAGTCAGAATCATGTGCGCCAGCTCCAGGAACAGCTGGCTCAGGCCACCGTGAAAGTGCGCGAATTGGAATGCGAGTTGAAGCGAATTCGAAAGGTAATGATTATCACACAACAGTTTTCCCGCGGCGAACCCGGCGATACAAACGGTAGAGGAGTTTAATTCAATTGCGTGACGCATCCTTGCAGGACGATATTACCGATGGACATCAGAAGGCAGAGGTTGTACGGGCGAAACAGGATATGATGAACCGTATAATACAGATGGAGGAAAAGGTATGGCGCGCCACATCAATTATGTATTTGTTACATCGTCCATCCATTTCTAATTGTGTAAATAGGAAAGAGTTCACAATCGTAACAGAATTGGGAAGAAGGTGATTGCTCATGTAAGAATGAATCATAAATAAAACATAAAGTTGTGTCATCGAGGAGAGAAAAAGAAATATTCTTCAGGAGTTAAATGCTTATTTTGAAATCTTAGAAATTACCTGTTAAAGCTGATATAATCTACCAAGTATTGATTTCCAATTTTCTTCTTGTTAATTGCGTCGCGATCTTTCGGCTGCTTTGAACAATTTTGCCTCCAAAGAATGTAAAACTGAACGAAACCTAAACTGAAATTAAATTCTTATTAAAGAACTAGAGATTATATTTTCTCATGACATTCATTATCGATATTTGGGATATTTTCTTAGACCCGGGAAGCGGAAAGAAACGCTAAACATATCCAGTTAGACGAAGCCAGCCTTATTCACGATTTTCGTTCGGTGATATCGAAACTGAATTCACGCGAGAAATTCGATTTAGTCAGCGGAGCGCTAAAAGCTTTACAAATCGAAAGTGAGACGCATGAGAAGATTAAGGATCACGAAAAGCTGCAAAACAAATCGAACGACGCGATCGAGGAACTTCCGTCTAACAAAGAAGAAATATTACAAACAAGAATAGAAGAACTTAAAAATGAAAATAAGGATCTTTCGAACGCCATGGAAAAATTGGACGAAGAGCATGCGCAGTCGATTGGTAAGTAGTAGTTATTTTTATATACTAATGCTCGTAGGAAAATCACAGTAGCATACATTTCTATTTGTGCAGAAAAACTGCTGTCACTCAAAGAAGAAAGTAATAGGAAACATCACTTCCTGCAAGATGCGTACGAGCAGCTTTCCACAGATTACAATAAGGTCCAAAAAAGGACAATCGAATTACAAGCAAAACTCGATGAAAATGCCCGTGCGAAATCGAATTGTCAGTCTGCCCAAACGGATAATGTAGAAAAATCGGACCAATACGCTCAAATAACGCTTCCTTCTCGAGAAGACGTCACGGAATCGAGCAGTATTAATGATATCATTGAGAAAGTTCAGATAATTTTGAAAAATCACACCATAAGCAGCATCGAACCGGACGAAACGATCTTCGAAACCATCGCGAAGCAGTACGTCGACAGTAAGTGGAAATTGGACGTTTTGGAAAGGAGGATAACGGAGATCATTGGAAATTTCAAGGAAACCGAGGAAGTGAAATTCAGCTTGCAAGAAGAATGCGACGAATTGCAATCTCATATCGATTCTCTGTTGCTGGAGAATCAAGCTTTAGTTAATCAAGCTTTAGCTAATCAAGCAAAGTCGAACCTGCCGTCTATCCCCGAAGCGAGCGAAGAACGAGTAGCTTTTTTGGAAATGGAGGTCGAAACATTGCGGGAGGAAGTAAAACGCCTCTTAGCCGAAAACGAGAGGATACGAGAAACAGATCCAATCTCGTCCGCCGCGCAAAACAAAGAAGCGTCTTTGATAAATCACAATAATTCGCAAGAAGATACGAATCGCCAAGCGCATTCGTCGAGGAAAAACAGAGAGCTTCCAGTACTTTTGGAAAAGAATGAAGACTCGAACGAAGACGGGATGTTGTACGAGCAATTGAAACTTGATCATGAAAATGTAACGCGGGAATTGGAAGCGACGGTGGCAGAAATGAAATTGTTAGAAAGTAATATTGCATCTCTACAGGACACTGCGCGTGCATTGACGGAAGAGAATGAAGATTTGCTAGAGAAAAACATGCATTTGGACACGCGACACAATAGGCTTTTACAAGAACGTGAGAAAGAACAGGAAGAAAATAGTTATCTGTTGAATGATTTGCAGAAACAGCTTGATAGAGCCGCTCTCGTGAAATCCGACTTGGAAAATGATATCTCACGTAAGGAACGAGAATTGGATAAGATGCTGCTGGAAATTAATGGGAAGCAGCATGAATTGGCAAAATTCAATCAGGATCATGAAATATTAAAAAAGGAGAATGAATCTTTGTCGAAGCAATTAACTGCCACGCACAATGAATTCTTGGATAAGATAGAGTTCTTGAACACAGAGATGTCGTTGCTTCAGCAAGAACATGAAGATTTGAAACAGGAGATGTCGATTTACAAGGACGAATTGTCGCGAACGAAAGAGAAATTGCGCCAAGTGCAGGAACATTGTACAGAATTGGAGAACGAACGTCACGCGTTAAAGGCGCGGTGCGAACGGCTTGAAGTGGAAAAAGGGGATGTCCAAAATCGAGCGACGGAAGCGAGAAAACTTGAAAACGATCCGGGTCTTGCGACATCGCTTACGGAGGGATTGAGCACGCTACAAAACTTTTTTAACTTCGAGTTCGCGGGCCAAAAAGCAGAAATGCTTCATGCTAAAGAAACGCAGCCGAAACAAGAAGATATCGCGAACTTATCTTCGGCAAACATAGATAAAATTAATACAAAGGTACAGATGGAGGAACAAGTTTCAACTGCTCAAGACGATTTAGTCAGAACTACGGCTAAATGCGTGGAAGAAAAGCAGGATTTGGTATCAAAAGAAACAAGTGCGACATCTAATGATAACGAGCGACAAGCGCTTGAATCCATCATCGATGAAGAAAGACGAGAAAGAGATATCATAAAAGCGCACAAGGAAAATCTAACACGGGAAATTACGCAACTACGTAGCGAATTGCAAACTACTTTCGAGATTGATAAGCTGGCGGCGGAGATGGCTAGAAAAACTATTGAAGATCTTTCGCATCTCTTACGAGAGAAGGACGAGAAGATGAGTGTTCTACAAGGTGAAATCACACGTGCGAATAATACTATTATGCAACTTTCGAACGAACTCACCATAATTAGAAGCCAGAAGAATGAATTCGAGCAACTCATCTCTATTAAACATAACGAGAGTTTGCAGTATCAAAATGAAATGCAAAGGATGGTTCAACACATAAATGAGCAGGGGGCTCACATCGAGCGGTTAATTGCCGAGCAAACAGCGAACGAGGCACGAGATAAGGCGAATGTAGAAGAACAACATTCGAAGAGTTTACAGAAGAGCTGCAACAACGATGATCAAACTGCCGATCGCACCGTGCAGAGCGGCGAAATCGTGAATAAAAAATGCGACGCCCTGGAGGCGGCTCTGTTGCAGGAGCAATCTAACAATAGAATTCTGCAAAACCAGCTTACCGAAAGCCAGATCAAAGAAGCCAATTCCGCTAAAGAATTAGAAAGGCTGCGAACACATTTAGTCGAGATCGAATCGTCTTACACGGAAGAAGCCTTGATCTCCGAAAGAAATCGCGAGGAATTAGAGGCGAAATTGTTGCAGGCCGAAGAAAAGGTGAAAAGTAGCTCGACCGCTTTCACATCGGCGAATATTAGGGCGAATCAGCAGGTGGAAACGTTGCAGCAACAAATAGCTCTAATTACGCAACAGAGGGACCAGATACAGGCGAAGCTGTCCGCCGCGGAAGACAACATTATGCTGCAGTCCGCCTCTTTGACGAATTTGCAAATAGTTTTGGAGCAGTTTCAACAAGGTAAACTATAGTTACTCGACGCATACAAATTTCATATTACACTTATCGTTTGTTGATTACGTGTTAGCAATGCTCGTCTCTCTTCATAAATGTTATACACTCGTATTTATAGTCCAACATTCTTATTACGTGATGTCAAACTTGCAGATAAGGAACGCGACGTCATATTGGCCACAGAAAAGATTCGATCCCAGCTCAACGATTCATATAGGAAACAAGATGAACTTTTGAAAGAAATTTCAATTCTCAAGGTTTGTTCGTACATTTTGCTCGCCCAACAATCGAATCGAATTTACTTTCTAATCGGACTGTTGCATGCACGTGTGCTTACAGCAACAATTGTCTGAAGCTAAGGAATGCTTACAAGCTGCCTCTAGGCTAAGCGAGCAGCTTGAGAAAAAGGACGCGCAAATCGAGCGATTCAACGAAGAAGGTAATCATCCTCGAAAGTTGCATAGTTTTTTTTAGCATTTTTTTTTAGCATTTTTTAGCACTGTCTGCATCTTGTTTTTGACGTTTATAGCATGATTAATGTTTTTAAATTAAATCGTTTCATGCATCATGTAAAAAATAATTTACGAGTGAGTTTTTCTCACCATCACGTATAAGGCTGTTTATATATATATATATATATATTATTTTTTTTTACGTAATTCCGCTTCTATTTTAACACATTGCGGTTAACCGATAAATCGAATTGCGCGCTGCAGCACACACAAATATAATCGATAATGCGCTGCATTTTGTGTAAAGATATAAATTAAAAATGAAATAATATTCTATGAAAGACATGAGAATAAATTGTGTCGATTCAATAATATCATTAATGATCGGCTGCGTAAATTACGACGGCTCTGTGTGTGTTAAATCTTAATCTTGATAATAATGAGAAATTAATCGCGCTCTGCAAATGTATAAATCTCTATAATCAAATTTTTCTACTAAATATGTATGAATTCTAGAATATGATAAATCAGGCAAAATTTAGTTCATAGAAGTCCTATTCTAGTTTATAGATAGTTCTGAAAATCCTAGATTTTGTATTTATATTTTTGCTCTGCAAATATTTTTACAATGTAAATAATATCAAGTATAAAACATACATACACATAGTATGTAAGAAACGCTGTAATATCAAAGAAATCTTATAATATAACGTAAGGCATGATATGAAAAGCACAACAAAGCGTGCATTGTCGAAAAACGAACGAATTCTTATGGAGTTCTCACGGATTGATCAGTGTATTCGCGCTCTGTGACTAATCTGCGAAAGCAAAACACGTACATAATCCGGTGATGTAGTCAAATATCAGCTGGTAATTCTGGGATTGTTACAGTAACCCAGGATTCTTGCTGGTATCTGGCTACGAACTGGATCATCGCCTTTGCACACTCACAAATCACGTATTGGTTGGTTCATGCAATTTGCCCACTGGTGCTGGTACCTACGTTTCTGCACACATGCGAATCTCTTTTTTCTCCCCCCCCACTCCCCTTGGTGATTTTTATAACAAAAAGCATTCAGAAAAAAATAAACAATTCATCAGTGTTGCGCTTTCTTTTACATATAAGAAATAACCATATTAAGAGTATTTTCTGTTTTCCTTTGATCGAATCATTGTTTCCTGTTTTATTATTTTACTACTAATTGTTAGCATAATTATTTGACAGTATATCATAGAACCGTAGTAATTTCATTCCTACATATTCATATTAGCAAGTTTGTACGTTATTATCTTGCATGTAGTAGGTATTATTTTTTGTCGATATTTTGGGGGAGATGCAGTCATTATTTTAATATAATTTCATCGCCATGAGCTGAAATGCATGCAAGATAGTAGTAATTATGAAATATTAGCCATTATTTTTGGAAGCTGCTCCACATGTTTCAACATCGAATACACCAGATTGCGTAAAACAATCATAATTACACGCTAATTGTAATATTAAATTCGATAGAATTGTCCCAAAACAATTGCCACTGTCTTATTTTCTTTTCCTCGATTAATGTACGATATCATGTTTTCAAATGATGCTAACAGATTTTGAAATATTAATTCTACAATTCATCACTTAGCCGTCTCATGAATTTTTCAAATATTTCGAGAGTTGATCTCTAAATTTTAAAATTGTGTATGTGGCCATTATAATGGGACATTCTATATATATACTGCAACATGTGTTAGTGCATATACAAACACAAATATTGAAAATATTATATATAAACATGAATATGTATAATTATAATTTGGTAGCGATCGCGTGGGTAATCTCATGCGGTAACTGTGAGTGTGTAGATAAGAGAATCTCATATTACCTCGTGGGGTTTCCCACCCGTTACCGTGATTCGTCAAAATTATAAACTTTTTAGTCAGAGATCTCTTTTTCCTATATATCGATCAGAAAAATTGCTCACTTTCACTTAACTGTGGTGCTCAGTTTATAGCATGTCGTGTAAACTTAGTCCCTGTGCACAACAATTCCATAAATCTCGAAGGAACCTTTATATGTAAATAAGGGTGGCGATAAAGTATTGTATAAGTTGTCCCCTCCAAAACTCTGTTGGAACCCGAACGTATCTCTGATGTGTAACTGGAGTACGGATACATAAACTAAAACGGCTTCTTTAATTCTAGTGGCATGCGCGCAACCTTAGTTTCGTAGAACGGCATGATAAAAACGAAGAATGCAGCATGAGCAATTAAGACGCAGGCGAGAGTATTGCATCAGGTACTGGTGTGATGTCGAGGCAACCAGTACTTGTGTTATACTTACGCTCGTGCCTTTCCGAGCTACCACAATCCGTCAACCTTACAACGATGGACCGCGCATGGTGTATATAAAGATCAGAAATTTTCTAATCGACTTGTTTTAATTAGGTATCTACAGTCCCGTAAAAATTAAGACGGAAAAACGAAAAAGAAAACGGTTCCCCGTAGATGAATGCATTATCCAATTCTTTTTTTTTTTCTTTATTTTCTCACTTAGAAAATATCGTAGTTTAAAAAGATAGCTCTTGTAAATTATTTTCTTTTGTTATACATTAATGTGTATACAATGAATATATATATGCTATACATTTCTAGTTGCACGATTGACGGAATTGCTAAACTTTGCCGACCAGAAAGTAAAAGAAGCGGCAGAACTCGACGAGGGAAAAGTCGACAAGTGAGTAGGAAAAATAACATTTGCTTTGAAAGAAATGGAAAAAAAAAAAATAATCTGGAAAATTCTTGCAGAACCCTCGTCAAAAATCTTCTTTTGGGTTACTTGTCTTCCGCTACGTCGGACAAGTCTTCGATACTCCGGGTGTTTGCCAACGTCCTGGACTTTACCGAATTGGAAAAGGATAAAACTGGTTTGAACAGCCTTTTACGCAATAACGGCAGTGCGTCTTCAAAGGTACATTTCTCTCACCGCTTATTGGCTGATCAATATTTGATATAAAAAATTTCCACTTGTACAATTCCATCTGCAATTATATTCACGGTACGTGTAATCTTGCAGGATCAGGAGGCGTCCCTATCGACGGCCTTCGTGAGATTTCTGGAAAGTGAATCCAAGCCAAAGCCTCAATTACCAGCTTTGCCGATCGTGAATTCAGTAAGTGACGATGTTCGCTAATTATTCTCCGTCTAAAAGAACGCCGTCTCATTATGCCCTATAATTGCAGTCTCCGCGGCCGGGATATAACAAGCAACAGTCGCAATCCACGTCGTCGGCGCAATCGACACTGTTGCTGCCGAACGTGACTCTTCCAACATTCCCAGACTTTATTCCAGCCAGAAATACAGGATCTATTTTGAAGGAGGTGTTGAAGGACAGTTGATATTACACATTATATTGAACGTTGTACAAATAACATTAGGGATTATATCAAGCTGCATTTTATACCAATGTCCACGATGGCGAATGTCCACTCTTAATCACCTTGCAAACGAATCCTGTTATTTAAATAAACAATTATAATATAAAAATCGCATTAAATAAATGAAAGATAAGATTCTTACTTGAAATAGTTTTTTTAATGTAGCCATATAATGTTACAATGAACAAAAGGTATACTATACCGCTGCTCTCTCTCTTTCTCTCTCTCTCACTCACTCTCTCTCTCTCTCTCTCTCTTCTCGGCAGCAAAGTAACAAGATTCTCCATTTATAACGATATGACACAACATCGTACTATCAGTAATAAATACATAGTAAAGTTTCGTTGTATAACTAACGCGCGTGCTAAGAGTATAAATACAAATTAAGACTATGTATTTGAACAAAATTAGTGTACAAAATATAAATCTATTCAACGGTTTCATAATACATACACTATCATCATCCTACGAAACATATGTACATAGACCGGCTACTTTTCACCGTACACTCGATCATATCGGTATCAAAAACTGGACAGCATTAGGGTTTCATAAAAAATTAGTATTTTTTTTTTTTTTCTTTTCATCGAATAACTGAAACTATAAATTTTTCAATAATTATCACAAGGGGCGAACAGGCAACAGCCGTATATAAATATTCTTTTTCTTTCTTTAATTACACCCATGCTGCTGGAGTGTACAAGCTTTTCGTATGATTTATTCCAAGAGATCCACTGAAAAATTCTAACAAATATTTGACAACTTTCATTAATTATTTCCTCACAATATACATCATCACGATATCGCTATAAAGAATATTTCTGAACAACAATTTGTATTTCATATGTAAGCCTTGTTAATTTAAATAATAATTACCATAAAAATCAGATGATCAACTTCTATCCGGTCAATGTTCACCAAAACTTGTAAATAATGAGATTTTAAGTAGCTTTTCTGGAACGTTGTGGATAAATGCCCTCAGTTTTACTAAACCTCTTCAGCAGAACAAAGATCAATGCAAACAGTAATCTCATGAAACTGGATTTTGTACACTACTGCGGATATAATGCACATGCATTATATTGTTTTATATCACATGCATCATAAAGCTTTCCATAGGCGAGTATCAAATATCAAAACGATTTTTCATCGATCGTGTCGATAGTTTCAACCTGTACAATTCGGCATAAAACCGTATTGTTAGTTACAGTTTCAAAACAGTAAATAATTGCCCAATGAAATATTGCGGTTAAATTTAAATCTTGACCGATGCAAGAACGATGCAGAAAAATTACCCCTTAGAGCTGAAATAATGCACATGTAAATTTAAAAATAAATTTCGATATAACCGCATAAAACTGGATAATTCTCCAATGCTTCCATTCGGCTATTTTTCCCTGAAATTAATATGCATCACGATAGATAACGCATATAGGTACGAAACAATTGTAACAATTGTTTATAACAACGTGGTAAAATTTCTAACAGCACATCCGCAGGACATGCGGTGAATATTTCGCATGTTAATGCACAGTCTTAGCCAACCAATTGTATTTTAATTAAAGAATAATCTGTTAGTTAATCGAACATGGACATGCGTGCGCTGTGCAAGCAAAATATTTCAGCAACAAGTACTCGTACGATGAATTATTGATATGAAACGTTTCACAGTTTCCGTTTTTGTGCGCGCGCGCGCCTTCTCGGGGAGATTTTGTAACTTTATCACATGTTTTATCATACATTAACGAGATTCATATAGCATCTTGAACAGATATAAATTTCGAACAATTCACATCTAGAAACGATACATCGCAATCGATGCGTTATACATGTATCGCATCGAAATGTTGTCAACTATTTTCCATACGAGACGGAAGCATTTCGCTTTCGGCGTGCAACAGTATCCAGCACTCAATTCATATTAATCTTGTCGTGCGCTGCAACGATTCGTATATTTCAGTCTGTTTATTTAATAAAGCGTTATCCTTCCCGAGAAAAGTTGATTTTTAAAAATCATGCGTAGATTAAAGAGTTTCTATTAAATAATCCAGTAATTGCAAGGGACGCTCTAATGCACATCTCGATTCTCATCATTTGAAAAATAACAAATACATCACATACAATCGAAAAAAGAAATGCGAATATTTATTGCTACAATTCTACGTAATGAAAAAAAACTGATCATAACCAAAAACGGTCCATTACAATTACCAGCAATTTCACCTAAAGCGTTAGCAGTTCCACGGAGTACTCTTTTGGTCCAACTTTCCGATACTACAATATACATAGATATCAGCGTCAAAGATTCGCTCCTTCGCACCGACGTCGACGTACAACGATAAGGCCTAACGCGATCGAATATCATAACTTCATCTCCCATAAGACAATATGTGCGTCGTTGCTGTTCGGATCTTTGAACGTGTAGGTCGTTTTCGAACTCTTGTCAATACCGGACTGCGCGTGGAGCTGCCTCCAATTGATGTAGCCGCGTCCGCCCATCAACGTCAAGACCGTTCTTTTAGGCTGCTCTATCTGCTGCATCACTTTACCGTTTTTCTTACCGTTCGCCTTAACATTACTCGCGGACGTCGCTTCTAACGTCGATTGTACACTATTGTTAGTTGCAGAGAGGTCATAGGGACCGTTACGACTAGCTATACTACTATTACGCGATAACTTTCCAGTTTTTAATGATAAATTCTCTTCCGATCCGGAAGACGTGTACAGAGAGCTGGCGTGCGAGTCCACCGACCAATTGGAAAGATCCAGTGACCTGGGCCTAGTGATTTTCATTTTTAATCTACGGTCCAAGGTACTCACTTTATTTGGTATCGCTGCCAATTCCGGGTCGCTTCGCCTCAGCGTTTCGTACATCGGATCTATGCCCGAACTGTTTTCGTTTTCATAATCTTTCACGTACATCAGTTCGCCGTAGAGCCCGTAAACGTCGCAATTCTCGCCGGAGCTCTGCGAGCTGGAAAACGAGCTCGACAAGAGCCCACAGCCGGCGCCCAATCCTCTCGGCAGCGTCTTCGATCCTCTGTACTCGTACTCCTTGCTTCGTTTCCGTCTCAGCATCACCGGGCTTCCCGTCAGTTGTTGCTTCAATTTCAACAGGTTGCTGCTCGCCGAAGAATCCAAGCTCGTTCTGTCCCGTCCCGATCTTTGTTCCACGTCTCTCGCCCTCAATTGTACATTTCGTCGTCATTGGCGCGATCCTTCGTCGAGTACACCGCGCTCTCCGTGTTTTGTATCGCCAGCAGGAAAGTGATCGGACCGAAGTGAGCGTGATAC